CTCATTTTTTTTTTTGTATCACAACAAAAAGTTAAAAAAGAATCAAATTACACCCTAAATCTTATCCATATTTCCTTATCAATCATTTGAGCAGTAGGAGGGCTTGATTTCATTGATTTCATTGATCCCGTATAACTCTTATCATACTCTTATCATCAAATCAATAAAATCAACTTTGTGATATGTAAAAATATTATGTGTGTAATTTTTTTTACAGAAAAAAAATTTGCTTTTGTTTTTTTTTTTTTTGAAATATATTTAGACTGATATAAACTACTCACTAGATTTAGTCTTTACATATTTATAAAGACTAAATTTACTGAGTAGTTTTTATATCAGTCTAAAATAAGAGTTAAACATCAAAAACCAAAACGTATAATTAAATGTTATTTTTTTCTTTTTAATTTATTAGACTTACAAAGGTGAAGAAACAAGAAACGAATGGAAAAGATTGTAGCACTAAAATTTGATTTTCATTTTTTGATTTTTTCAATTTTTATGTTTGATTAATTTTTATGTTTGGTTAATTTTTATGCCTGATTTTCTGTCTATAATTTTGATTTACGTCATGGAATGGGCTTTTAACAGTGCTATGCTTTTGTATGGGAATTTATTTTTTTTTTTTAGAAAAAAAAAGAAAATGGAACATGTTGGTTAAATTGAAAAAATATGACAAAAGAACAGACAAAATACGCCATTCTAGGAAATTTTTTTGTATGGTTAATTATATCAGAGAAATCAAAAAATAAATCCCCTTTTCCTTATATTATTTTTCTTGTAGTTTGCTTATTTTGAGTGAATAAATTATAAACAAACTTTTTTATTTTTTACTTAATTTTTTTCAAAAAAGAAGGATAAAAATGTGTATGTAATAGCAATAAGACAAAAGCGCCTAAATTCTTGTCAATTATTTCAAAAACTGCTCAAAATTTATCATTCAAGAAATATTCAATGAATAAATTGATCGAATATATTCATTTCCAACAATATTTGCCATATAATTTTGTTTTTAGCAATTGATGAGAACTTAGGCGCTATTGTCGCATCGTTGTCACAATGTGCATTTCCATAAAGTTTACTTTTCGTTCCTTTTTTCACTTAAGTTATTGTTAATTTCTCAAATATTCTTATTTTTAAAATTTTTTTTTTTAAAAAAAGTTATTTCTAAAAAATTTTTCATTTATTTGAGCTAAAATAAAATGTTTTTCGTCGGTGCACTTTTTTTTGCTCCAAATTTTCACTCTTTCAGTTGAATACACTTTGCATCTATTTAATGTTTCGTCCTGTAAAGCTAATTGTTGATAAATGATAATACAGATAGTGGTAATAACAGAGATATTACTTAGGGATGTTACTATATTAGTACAATGATAGTTATCAATTGTTATACAGTTCTAAATTAATTACCGCACCAACAATTAACGAAAATAATTTTTTTTTTGTCAGTAATGATTTATTGAAATGAGAAAATGCATATTTTGATAATGTAAGCCCAAATATTATTAATAAATTAACAATAATAAATAAAAGTTTCATTGATAAGGATTTATTGATAACAGTATCTTCTCATTACTATGAATAGTTAGGTAGCAATGAGTTTGTATGATTTTGTTTATCAACAAAATGTTTATTGACAGCATTGCTATCATTTCATTAGCACACATTTTACATCGATCTTTTTTTTAATTTTAATTTTTAGTATTCTATTTATGTGATGAATGACTGCGTATTCTCCTTTTCAACTTCAATTTCTCATTCCGTTAAATGAATTCTAAGCTTTTTTTTTAAATTCAAACAAGTGATGTTGAAATGTGATGTAAGATTATTTCGGCTTCAATTTAATACAAGGTGCGGATCAGGGTAGGGTCAAATATTGCCCTACTTTGTAGTTTCCCCAAAATTTTATCATTTTATCATCACCATCATCTAACTCACCATCTTTTTGTTTTGCTAACCATCTATAACGTTTAATAGTCAATAATCATATCATATCATATCACATCATTTTTTGACTAGAGCTCATTTCATATTTTTCTCAGACTAAGAGAAGGAAAGAAGTAAGAATTCTACTAAAGTTTATCACATTATCATTATCACCTTCATTATAAATTTTCAAAGTTTTATTTTGTCAAAATTTGCCATGTGTAATTACTTCAATTTGCTATTCGAATTTCACAAATTTCAATTTTTTCAAAAATAAATTTTTTATTTTTGAAGGTTTATTTTCAATTAAAATAAATCAATTTTAGATTTAAATCTGATACTTCATGTGATAGCAATATATTGCAGTTCTTTTATTTCATTTTTCAACAATTTAATGAAATCGTCTAAATATCTGACTTATGATAATAGAAATAATATATATCTTCGATATTGTTAAATTGAAATCTCTCTATGCTGTAATTTTCCTTCCAATTTATTATGCTGCACCTAACAATTAAAGATTATATATTTCAAGTTTAAATTTCTATTCCAACAATTCATTAAATGAATATCATCCATAATTATTGTAGCCTTTTTTTCTTTTTTGATTTTTCCTATTATTGCAAAATTTTTGGTTGTATGATTTCTTTATTAAACCAGTGAACTAATTAATGGGTTATTAAAAATTTTTAGATTCAATTTTTAAGAATGAAAATTGCACATTTCCTGCAATATCATCACAGTATAACTATTTCATCTTCATTTTTAATTTCTCTGTGACTATAAATATTCTCTGAAGAAATAACATTCAAAATTCAAGCTTAAACTTTAATTTTACTTAATCTATTTCAAATTTTACTCATTTTAAATCTCATATCTCTTTATTGTAAACTGCTGTAAAAATGTAAATTTAGTATTGTTCAGTGCTAAAGTGCACGTCCGATGATCTCTAAATTATTGATAATAAGAGTAGATCGATTTGGTCTTTTTGATCCTCCAATTACCTTCAAGAATTGTGATGTCATCCATATGCGCAATTGTCGTAATACATAAGTAGCACAGATCAATTTTTTTTTTTAAAATATACCTCTTTCCAAGGTTCTAATTGTATTTTCCTTCTCATATTGTTTAAAGATTAAGAGTATTTTACATTTGATGAAAATTTCAATATTTTTGTCTAACAGGTCTAACTCATTTACTTTAAGTGAAATTAAAACTGGACTTTTTGAAATTTCAAAAACGAAAATACATTTGATTAGGTTGCATTCTTCGATTGTACTATCTATTTGCTTCTTTTGTTTTTTTTTTGAATTTATGACTTAATGAATTTAATTTAAACTTACTATGTAAACAAAAATGCTAACAGAAAAATTCGAAAGTGTTTCAATTTTATTCTGTTGAATTTTCATCCTACATTTATAAACTTGAAATTATGTAAGTGTTTCTTTTTTCGCAGTATGATAAGAAATGTCCCCGTAATAAATAGAAATAAATAGTTTATTGAAGTTATTTAAAAGAGGTTGATAGTTATATTTAAAATTTAAAATTGGTTATTAAATGAAAATCATTAAAGATTGTAATAATTCACATTCATTCATATTATCCGAAAGTAATTTTACTGCAACAATTATGAAATGATTTTTTTTTTTTTTTTTGTAAATAAAACAAATCGCTAAATTTGTTTTATTTACAAAGGAAAAAAATTCAAAAGTTGTCAAATTTACTTTTAAAAAGACAATATTAAACTTATTATTTTCAAACAAATTCACGTTTACTTCTCTTTTTTTTTAAATTAACGACAATTTTTTTTATAAAAATGTATGTATGTGAGAGATAAATTCAAATGAAAAGAGAATAAGAATGAGAATTGAATTGAGGGTGGTACTTCAAACAATTCAAATATCTTTATGGTTGACTGACAATACGTACCACCTCATTCACTTTGTACTATTTACATAATAAATTCAAGAGTGCTTAAATCATTCATTTATTTTACACTTATATGAATTCAAAAATGATTCAACTTTCTTACGCTATACCATAACTTTGGATTTCATTCTTTTTCGCCTCATTATTTTTTTAACATATTCAAATTTCGAGTGTTTGATTATATTTTTATTTACAATTATTATTAAATGTTGCTCATTCGGTTGTCTAAAGGTAAATGTTACTGGTTGTATTTTTTTTAACATTTGTACATATTGTATTATATTTCTTGTCTTTAAGTAAGGGTTGCGTCATTAGTAATTAATATCCTCTCGGCCATGACTCTAAAGTAAGGATTGTACAGTTAATAACTGATAACGTTTAGCATGTATATATTAGCGTTGATGTCCATTTGAGAGAATCCATTTCAAAACTTTTGACTATTTTTTAGCAGATCATTTACAATTAGCTGAATATTAGTTAGAATCATTGCTAAATTAAAAAGCGAGTTGGATTTTAATTTAATGAATTCAAAATTTATCTAGTATATGATATTAATTTAATAGTGCTGTTAAATTAAGAAAACTGTTGTTAATATTTCAATTAAGCTTTAAATCTAGAATTTATGTTGGTCCTCATCGACTGATTTTATTTTGCATATAGGATATTGAGAAAAGTTGCTTTTAAAATTCATTCATTTTATTTTAATTCATTTTATTTCAATAGTTGTAATTATTTGGGTGGCTGAAATTTGAAATTATTTCATCAAAGTTAGTTCTGTAAACGAAAAATTAATTTGGAGTTATCAAAAATAGATTTATGATCCTTTTTCAATTTGGATTGCTTTGAATATCAAATTAAAACTTTGGAATTGATTTAAAATTAGAACGAAAGTTCAACCTTCCTTGCAAATTTAAGCATTACAAAAATTGAACAAGAACGATGAACTTTTTGTGAAAAAGAAAAAAAAAATGCTTTCGGAATATTTTTATTTTATTTGAGCATCTGTTTTCTTTTTGCAATATCAAATAATCCGTTTTCTTTATATTATTATTTTTCGTTTTTCTTTTTTCTTTCTTATTTTGTGTACATTTTACAGAAAACGATTTCTAATTGGTTTGCCTTAATTTTTTGAATTCCTTTTATAATCGATGATGGCAGGCCTATTCCGATCGTTAAGTCAGCGTTTTCGACGTTCAAAAAGGCATTATCGTCCGGATGGTGATACTGCTGGAACTAGCGAATATCAGCAGGTTTTTTTTATGATTTATTATTAAAAAAAAAATTTTTTTTGCAATAATCATCATTTTTGCTGAAAATTCACAGAGTATTCGAAAGAATGAATCAAAATTGCAATTTTTATAAGTTAGGAGTTAGGAATGATGTATTGATTTTTACTGTTATCAATTGAATATCAGCAGTTTCACATATTTTTTTTTCAAGTTTCAGCATGAGAGAGAGAGGGAAAGATTTTTTTCCATGCTTATAATGGCAAAAATGGTTTTTAAAAATGTAATTCTCAAGAAAAAAAAAAGGCTAAGAAATGATAAATGAAAATGATAAAGTTTTTCCAATTAAGTAAAATCGGCCATAAAAAAAAAGTTATCGATCAAGGATCGATCGAGAAATTGCTCACTGAGATCTTTTCACGGATGTTGTTTACACTGACATGCCATCGTTAACTTCTATTATATGATTTCAAAAAAGAAAAAAAAAAGTTTATATCGGATAACGTTTTCTTTAATCCATTACCGTATCATTCTGAAATTAGTGAAAAGCAATTTTTCCTCTTTAATTTTCTTTTTTTTTCCTCTCTGACATCTATTGTCTCCAATTTTTTAACATTTAATCATCAAATTTACATTTTTAGCAATGCCATCAAAAAAAACGAAAAATTTTAACAGGACACAAACATTTTCTTCATCCTTTTTTGGAATTGTTTTTTAAAATCTGAATTTTTTGTTTTTTTCTCTGTCTTTCTCTTTCAAAAATTAAATTACATGAATAACATATTGCTATTCGATTAGATAAAAGGATAGTTGTAAATTCATTAAATCGAGAGAATGTTTAAATTCCCAGAAATTTTTTCTGTAGTTTTTAAATAAAAAAAAAGTCTGTGGTATAATTTGATCAGAAATGATGTGGAAAACTCTGTTCCATTGCATATTTTCTCTCCTAAATATGAAATGAAATGAGAACAAAATTGTCATTTTGGTTTGATGAGTAAGTCAAAGTTTTTTACTCTTCATCAATAATACAATTCGAATGCATTATAAACGCATATATTTTTACTATTACAATCATAACAGAGTGCTGAAAAAAAGAAAGAAAGAATCAACAAAACATCATGCCAATAAGAGAAATGTCACCGATGATCGATTTTGATAATGTCACTTTGATTTCATTTGAATTTCGGTTTTTTTTTTCTCTCTACCAATAAATATTACTACTCAGTAAATTTTTTCAAATTTGGATTTATGTGCAGGCAAGCATATCCAATAAGGCTGTCAAAATTAAAAACCATCTTGTCAGTCAAATTTACGCCATTCTTTCTTTTTAATTTTTTTTTTATTTTGAAGATTAAAGGAGAGAAAAAGAGAGCAATTTATAGCTTTTTCTTTTCTTCTCTTTCTATCTTTGTAAGTTGTTTTTTTTTTTTTAATTTTGAAATGTGATAGCAATATTGATATGGTGATTAAATAATGAGATAAACATTTTACGCCAATATTTTTGTCATTGCTATTGTCATCTTATCTTTTCTATACAAATGTTTAAAATTTCGATTATTTACAAATTTTCTCCATGCATGTAATTTTCGAAAACTTTTATCATTTTTAAATTGCTACCTATAATTGAGCATTTAATCGTAATTTTTTGAAAAGCCGGAAATATAAAGCGATAGAAGTTTCCATTTTGAGTACTAAAATGGAAAAAAAAGGCATCAATTTGTTATATTTGATATAAAAATTTATATCTGAAAGAATATTCTTTTTCGGGATCGAGAGTTTGATTATGTCTTTTTAGAGTGTACAAATGATGTTATAAGGAATGTAATTCTTTTAAACGGCATAAAATATTTTGAAATGATTGTTTACGTCATATAACATATTTACTAATATTGTACGAATATGTATTCTATGAGCGGCATTTTCATTGTTATATTATTATTGTTCCATTGAGCGTTAACTGCCAGTCTATTCCAAAACAAATTATTGTAATATCAAAATTTATTATTCCTCTCATAATTTTTTCCTCATATGTTGCCGATATTAATTTTACAAATAATACTAGCAATTAATCACAGATTAATTATTTAGTTAATTACAAATTTCATGTCATTTATTGTAATTTGATTAGTTGTCGTATTGGTTTCCTATTTAACTTTTGTATTATTTTTCATCAAATGAACTAATTTTAAACTTATCAGTTCATTTGATTTCAATCCAATTTCACGATAACTTCATTCAATTACAATTAGTATTCGATGGCTAATATCCGAAAGCGGAATCTGTTTGGGACTGAGCAATGCAAAATTATTTCTGTCATATGCAATGCCTCTCTACTAGTAATCCTGAAATCGATTGTTTGAAGAATCAATTTTTATGCAAAAATTTTTTGCTGGACAGAAAATGAAGAATTGAGGAAGTTAGAGAAGAAATTTTCAAGCCTTTACTTGATGGAAATTTTGATTTTTAATGAGCTCAAAACAGGCCTTATTTTACATTATTAGTTCCAAATTATTAACTACTAACTTTTAGAATTTAGAAATAAATCTTAATTTTCATTTTATAACGTATTCTTCTCTGTCATGCATGAAAGAAACAAATTAATCAACTGGTAAATTGGTATTGGACCAATTTTTAAAGTGATATTTTTTTTCCTTATTTTTTTTAATTTCTTTAAATTATGACAATATTGAAAAATGGCATCTCTTTATTTCTTCATTTTTGGCTCATTAGTGTTTCATTAAATGTAATTTCTATTTGATGTACCGTTTAGGGGTAATTTAGGTTTGAGCATCGATTTTATCATTTCTAGTTCTTTCACATGCATTCATTCTTTGGATGAAAGTTTAATTTTGACACAAAATAATTCTTATTATTTTAATTAATTATAGGGATTTGATCAACCAGAAATGGATTCCCGAAAGCAATGTCAGTGTAAAGTATTGTTGTTGGATGGTACGGACATGAATGTCATAATTCCGGTACATTTTTTGTGTTTCTTTTAAAAAAAAGAATCGTTCATCATTTGATATTGTATTTATAAATTTAANAAAAAAAAAAAAGAAAAATATCCTTTATCCTTCTTAACTAATTTCATTCTGAAAGTTCGTTTGTATTATCGTCAAGGAAAAAAGGGGAGAAAAATGAACAAAAAAAAAAATTATTTCCATAATTTGTTATTTTAAAATTCTTAAACTCATTTCTTCCTTATTTTGACCGTATTTTTTTCACAAATTTCACTTTTAGGCTTTTCAATAATAAATTTTTCAATTTTTTCGTAGAAAAATGCTGCTGGTCGAGAATTATACGATCAAATATTTTATGCATTGGATTTAGAAGAACGAGATTATTTTGGTTTACAATTTATGGATCATTATCATGTCCAGGTATCTATAATTTTTCAGTTTGATTCAATTAAATTTTTAAGCTGAAATTTCAATTTATTTTGGTTCCAATTGATTTGGTTATTCGTAGAAGAATTTTTTTTATGATAGTCAAAATTTTTTCTCATTTCTCTAATAATCATTCGGTTTATATGCTAAATTTTCTATCAAAGCAATTCGAAAAGCGGAAATAATTGATTTGGTGATGGTAATTGAAAAGATCCGTAGGATTGAGAATTCTTGAAGATCGGATATTATGAAAAGATGGAAAGTTATCATTAAGGAATGCTTTTGGATTAGCTTATTTTAGCTGCCAATTATTTATTTCTGGAATAAATTGATAGTATATTTACCCATGAAAATATTAATTTCAGCACTGGTTGGATCCGGTAAAGCGAATTAATAAGCAGGTACCAATAGGTCCACCGTATACATTTCGATTTCGGGTAAAATTTTATTCATCAGAACCAAATAATTTGCGCGAGGAATTAACGAGGTGAATTGTTTTTTTTTTTTTAATTTTCAAGTTTAAATCAAATTTGTTAGATTAAGAAGTTGAAAATCTGATAATATTGAGAAATGAATGTGTTATCTGTTTGCCTTGAGATTCACTTTTAAATGGCAGCAGTAAAAGTATAGCGATTGATTATAGTTGGAAGAATTAGAGTGATAACGGTAATCAGATAAATTGTCACAAATTTAAAATAGATCATTGGTTGATTTTCTTATTGATACTTACTGAGCAGATCACTTATTAATCACTTATCGATCGCTTATTGATCTTCTAGCATTTCTATTTTTGAAGATATCAATTCTTTCTGCAACTGAAACAGGATATTCAAACAGGAAGATTGGAATGTCCCAAGGATACAGCTATTGAACTTGCTGCTCTCGCTTTACAATGTCTGTATTTCATTCACTTATAATTAATTTTTTAAGATTTTATTTCTAAATTAACTTTGATTAGAATTACTTCAATCTTTCAAGAGTGCAAAAAAGACATCTTTTCCACAATTTTTTCTTCAATTTCTTCAAAAAAGCTAGTTAATAAGAATTAAGTTTGTTAAAAAACCCTATTTTATTCATTTACTTTAAATAAAGCAAGGTTTTTTTAACAAACGTTTTGTTGACAAACTTAATTCTGTAAAAAATTTATCAGCCAAAGATTGAAAATGATGCAATATAAGGTACAAAATTTTAGATATTAATGTTAAACAATTCAATTTAAACTAAATAAAAAAAATCTCGAATTTATATAATTTGATTTTGCAGCGGAACTTGGTGATTATAATTCTACGGAACATACGCCGGCCCTAATTTCGGAATTCCGATTTCATCCCGAACAGGATGAAGAAATGGAAATTGCTATTTTGGAAAAATTCATCACATGCCGGTATTATTCTTCAAAACCTTCAAATGTATAAAATGATATGATAATTTGCAAAGATAAAATTGTTTGTTTTCAATTAAAAAAAAAATAGTGAAAAAAATTTTTGGCACAAAATAAATGTATTTTAGAGGACAATCGCCAGCGACAGCTGAAATAAATTATTTGAATAAAGCAAAATGGATCGAATTGTACGGTGTTGATATGCATACTGTTGAAGGAAAAGATGGCAATTTATATAGGTTTATTTATTTCTTCATTTCTCATACTTTCTTGATTAAACGTGATCACATAAATATATTTATATAAATTTACATATTCATAATGTATACGAATATTTTGGTTGAAAAAAAGATCAAGTAAATTAGTATAATTATAATTAAATAAAATAGAAGCAAAAAAAAAAAAACGAAGATATTACAGTTTGGGTTTAACACCGACTGGTATGCTGGTATTTGATGGTGCTCAAAAAATTGGTTTATTTTTATGGGAAAAAATTCAGAAACTTGATTTCAAAAATCGAAAAATCACACTTGTCGTCGAAGAAGATGCTGATCAAGCTGTACGCTTTATTTTTATTCTCAAACTTCAATTTCAATTTAATCGTTTTCTGATTAGTCAAAATATTGTACGGAGTAGCTATAAGAGGGAGAAATTCATTGCGTTAATAATCTTACTAAGCTTAATTCAGCTAAGCTACATGCCGATCTTTGACCTATATTCTGTTCATATTACTCAAAAATGTTTCACCCATTTTCTTTTTATATAACAGAGTGGACAAGTGCAATTGCATACATTTGTATTCAATTTATCATCTCATAAAGCATGCAAACATTTATGGAAATGTGCAGTTGAACATCACACATTCTTCCGGCTGAAATATCACAAGCCACGAATTGCTAAAGCATCACAACTATTCCGGTTGGGTAGCACATTCCGGTACAGGTAACTCTCTTTTCTTCACTTCCATTTATTTTTCATTCAAATGCTTCGAAATTGAACTGAATAATAATAATAACCTTCATCTATTTTATACCAATTCATTATATCTGTCATTTGATTTTTATAACTTTGTGATAGCACTTTTTTGATCAGAATATTTCAATAGAATTTTCATCAAATGAGATTTTAAAAAAAAAAAGAGGTCGAACGGAATACGAAAATGTACACAAAGATGGTGGACGACTTTCTCGACGACAATCAGCTACATTTGAGAGACGCCCATCACAGCGATACGGTCCAAGACAGAACCTGGTGAACAAACGAATACAAATTCGGAATGATTTCAAGAAACAGGTTAGTGGTAAATTGCAAATTTAAATATAATTAGTGACCTTTTACCGAAATTGAAATAACCGAAATCCACTTCCTTTATGCAATAAAAAGATTATCGTAAAGATTATAAAATATTAGGATTAGATCTGAATCCAACTGGCACATTTCATTTTAAAAGATTTGAATCAAATTGGCACATTTTGTATTTTAAAATTTCATTTAGGTTGGTGCTTCAACAGGACTATCTGCATCGGATCTTATTTCTTCTCCTGATGGTTTGCGCACTGCTGCAAAGTCAGTTTTTCTCAGGATTTATAAGAAATTTGATAGCATTCAAAATTTCGCCTTCTTTATCAATTTTATGTTTGAAATGTATTAATATATTTTTGGATTACATTAATTTGTACTAATTTCATCTTGTAGCAATGATAAGCATATATTGAATAGTAATGGTACTGCAAGCAATGATAATGCAACCGTAATTAATGGTTATGCAAATTTATCACAAATCGATAATTTATTCAATAAGGTTTGTCATCATGAACGTTAACAGTTTGATCAGTTTTTCATGAACGTTAACAGTTTGATCAGTTTTTATATAAAAAATTCATTTTTTTTTTTTTTTATAAAATTTAGTCTTGTCGTATAGAATTAAGAAATCATTATGTTTATTTATTGGAAAACATTATTGACATGTGAAAAATATGTTTCGATAGAATGAATTAACGATTGAATGTTATACTTTTTTGTTTGATATATATATAGTATTTTGCATAATATCAAGTATTCATTACGTAGGATACGACATGTTATGAGCAAATTAACAGTATCAAAGAACTCGATAAATCACCGTCTGTTTCAAGAAAGCAGTACAGTTCAGCAAAAGGTATAAATTATTTTCAAAATAGTAGTAAAGGAAATATCTATCCTAATATTATATTCCTTTGTAGTGTACACAAATAGATCCATTAATTATATCATAATTTTTCAAAATGTTTTCTGAAAATTTTAAATTTCAGATTCAACATATTCCAAATCCACTCCATTACAATTCATGGATGGTACAAAAAAATTGAACGTTGTTGATAGCACCTTAAGTATAGCTCATGGTAAGTTTATTTAATTAAAATTTAACTCTTCATGAAAATCTCACTGGTTGGTCTATTTAGTTTATTTAGCTATATTATAATAAATTTATGTTCAAATTCAATTTTATCATTCAATTGAATCTTCAATGTCAAAAGAAAAAAAGTTTTTTCTTTTTTTAAATGTTCTTCTTGGCGTAGAATATTTATATTGCTAACTGCTAACACTATTGCCGAAATACAGTAAGTATTGTTCTCGATATCTCGGTTTAATATTTACGGATAATTTGTTTGTACTAAAATAAAGGAACGATTCACTAGTGATTTCAGAACCTACACCTCGATGGTCGGGATCACCAGCATCAGTAACAGCCTCAACCCAACCAGCGGCTAGTCATGTTACAAGAATTGCTATCAGTAATGCTAGCTCTCAAATAGGTTGTACTTCGCCACCGCATATTTCAATGCAAGACACGTCAATCACGCATTGCGTACGTCTTTTCTTATTTCACGTCTCGTATATTTACCTCACATGCATAACAATTATTATCGTTTTCGTCAGAAAGAATAAGAAGAAAATTTGTGCTAATATTTTTAATTGAGTTGCTAACTGCTCACATAATATGTAGCTGGCAAAGCGTTGAAATAATTAGGTCATTGAAATTGCTCCAATTTTTTCAACAATTTCACTTTTCCTCATTTAGCTGTCATTTTTAATTTCTTTTCTTTTTCATGGAACTTCTCATCTGATTATTTCATAATTAAGGAATTTGAAAATCGAAATTTACGTAATATGTACTTGGCAAAATAGTTATTGAAATAATTAAATCATTTAAAAACTGAATATTTTTATCCAAAGAAGACGGTAATTGCTTAACTGATAAGAATGTATATTTTATTGATAAGGATAGAGGCATTGTACGCATCCTGTGATATTTGAATTTTGTACGGTACTTTGTTGTAATTTGGTTGAAATTGTTTAAATCTTAAATTTTTTCATGTTTAGAATTCTATTTCTCTAAAAAATTTTTTAAATATTTGCATATAAATAATCTGTCGTCACTACAAAAAAATTTTAAATTTTTAGTTTAAAATCTTATATCTTTTTTTTGCTTCTACTAAGGTGAACCAAACATAAGCAAATTCAAGATTTAAGAGAAATTTTTCTTGCTAATCATAATTAACTAAAGAAAAAGAAATTTGTAAATGAAAATTTTAGCCTGTAAGCAATAGCAATAGCACGCCACCATTGGAACATGCTCCGTTTATTTCGACTAATTCATCAAACATTCGGCAATCGCTTATCCCAAGAACTTTCTCAGAAAATATTCCTTCAATGAAATCTTCCGCATCATCCGCTTCCAGTCCAACTGCTACGGCACCAACATGTACAGCTTCACCCAACAAAAGATATACCGGATCGCTGCTCCGCTCACCGCTTTCTTCCATAAAGACTTCTTTAAACCAAACTTACGTACTCTTACCGGAAAAAGAAGATTTACAAAATTCCACTGTAATTAATGGACATGCTCATCCTGTAACAACTAACGATTGTTCTTCCATTCGACATCCATCCATAACAGATAGTCATCAAGACAAACTTTCAACTGTTCCTGTACCAACTACAATATCTACCGTACCTTCATCTTCTGAGGTAGTTAGAAGTGATCGTAAGCTATTTGGAAAAACTGAGTACGATATCAGATCTGATGAAAGTAACTCAGTTCCTGTTAGCCGTTTACCAGAACTACAATCACGTATACCGTATTTGCGTACAATAAAACCTCCTAGTACAAGTGCAATGAAAAAAGTACACGCTCCTTCTGCATCAACAATGCAAACGTCAACAACAAATCTGGAACCTGCTGGAGCAATTGGTGACAAGGCATATCGATCTCGATTACCGGTGAGAAGTGGCCATACTGGTAGCAGCTTAACAACAACTTCTGAAATGCATGGATCTAAAACTTCTGCTTGTGACGAGGTACAAACTGATTTATTCAATGTTTTTAAGCTTTATGTTGTGCTCTTTCGAGTGACTGAATTAATCTTCAAGAGGTCACACCGTCAATCTCAACTTTCTAAAATCTATGTTAAGTAAGTGGAATTTGACACAAATGTTGTATCTTCAATGCCAATACATTTAAGTTTGATAGATTGCTTTTTAGGACAATATTTTGGGAGAATTTTCGAGATTTTCAAAAAGTTACTTTTTCAATCGGTGTCATTTTAGTTTTTTTTGGTAATTGCAAAAATTTTCCATACATTTTTATGCAGTAGAAGAACGTCATAGTTTTATTTAGTTTGCCACATTTTCCGCAATTGAAGTTTACCTCCTATACTTTACTTTCTTCCTTCCTATTCATTTGGTATACGGTCATACCGAAGAATAGTATCGTAGTTATTTCCTGCTTCATTCTTTTTCGTTTCCTTTACAGACTCATTTGAGGCTGAATAATGCCTTTTAATCCATTATTTCACGATTAATATTTGATCATTGTAACGTTTTTTTTTTAATATATAATTCATTTCGTGTTATTAGGTATTGTAACTTTCTGTGGATTACGGTAATAATTCGTTACTGTATGTCATCAATGGTATCTATTAGTTGACTTCTAAAAAGAGTTCATATTTTAGCTTTAAATTTTTCTATTCTTATTAGTTATACGAAAGTAGTCTGATGTATTTATTTCACATTAAGATTTAATTGCACTCAATTCGAAGGACAGCATGAATTCTTCCTGAATTTCCTTTTTGAGTCCTTGAGAATAATTTTCTAAAGCAAAAGTAGATTTTAAAAAAAAGCACTCATCTATTGGTTCATATCGATTCTTCCATTTTTTAACTTGATATCTTTAGCACATGACAAGCCTAAGAGGGAAAATGAAGTTATAGGATCAATTATGTTAAGAAATTTTTAACTCAATATAACAGCAGCTGAAAACACTCATAATGAATTTTATAATATGATTTTTTTTTCTTTGGTAATTATTGAAAAGAAATCTCTCTGCTGGTTCCTTCCATGAAGCTTTCTCTTTTCCATGAACCTAATTATTGCAATTGTAAGAATCAGAGATATTCTTACTTGTTCTTACCTTCAAAGATTAAAGCTATGAATGAATAGGATAGCCAAAAAAGGATCTACTATTATTAATCAAATTACTCGTTCTTGTAAACAGAAGCTTATTAACACGAATTAAACTTTTTTATTAGCAAACGATACTTACTTCACTGTTTATATAGTCATTCATCGATTTGTTTCAAAATCTAACATTGCTCTTGAGATGTTATAAACATTTAGTGTTAAATTAATTGCAGAAGATATCACAGAGTCGGATACCGATAATGGCTAGTAGTATGCATCGACCACATTTTCATACACAACTTACTGATCAAATGTAACATAATTTTTTTTTTTTGGAAATAATTCTGATTCAATCTAATTTAGATCTTTGAAATCATGACTTTGTGGTTAATTTGCATTTTTAGTTCAACTTATTTGAGAATAATGTTTATTTAAGTTTTACTTTTGAATTCCTCCCACTGATTCATTTCATACTGTTTTCAGGATAAAACCTTCTGAAGCATCGGCAACACGAACTGTTATAACATCGACAAATAGCCGAATGATCACAGATTTATGAACCAATTTTTTCTTTCCCGAATAATTTGGAATTTATAATGTTTCCGAATATATCTTCCTTGTAGAAGTTATTTATAATATCCTTGTATTTTCATTGTATTGCTATAAAAGAAAATCATTGATTAATGCATCGATTTAAATGCGCGTAGAATTTTTTGATTTTTCGATTTATGAAATTAAATTTTGAAAGTATCTGTGATTGGTCTGTGGAGATGAAGAGTTTTGTTTGAAATTAATACTAAATTTTATTTACTTTCTTGGATGAAGAAAATTTCATGAAGTGATATGATAAAGTGATATTAATTGAGTTGTACAATTTGTGAAGCTATAAATGGTATAGAAAAATTTTGCATTTCATATCATATCAATTCTAAAACTGCTTGAAGAGATCCTAGGAATCAAAATGTATATGATTTTATGAAAATGAGATAGAAATTCTTCTAAATGTAACTTCTAAACTTGTTCATCTTTGTTTTTGTTTGCTATATCGATCTGTATCGTGTCTTTATTAATATATTTAAATTTATCGCATCCATATCATGTATAAAGTATATATTACTTTTGCTACCAGAAATTTGAAGCATTTCTTTTATTGACTCATTCAGATGACATTTCTATATTCAACAATGATAGAAGGAAGTGTCATTTGAATTTCTTGAAATCTCGAATGGTTGGGAATGGTCCAGTTTGTGGCATACAATATATGTGAGATCTCAAAATAATATAATAAGTGAAAGAAATTAAGCGAAATAATACTTTTACATCGCTTGAAAAAGTTCATTACAAAATTCTTGGCTTCTTCTTGTTGTTTGAACGAAATAAATAACAGCCTGGAATTGGAATCAAAGGCTTTGCGATTTGTGGGCGCAAAGTGCTGGTTAACTGAATAAATTGGAGTTGTACTAATATTTAAGTTAGAGTACTTGATTTTTTGATTTTTTGAAAAGTAAATCTGCTTGTTACAATTTGTATAATCACGATTTTTCACAACTACACTTAGGGAGTTAGAGAATACGATAAAAGATTTAGAAGCGAATATTTGTCATAAAATTTTTTTTCGCAATTTATAAGCATCCTCTCATTGCTGTTGCTTAATTAAGTATTGGAAAAACATTGGCTCAAAAATATTATTATATCATTATCATAATTTACTCATTGTTTTACATATCAATTGGTTGATTAATTTTTTCTATTATAATCAGGCTATGTGGAGTACATTTTTTTAGTAGTAACTCAGATGAACTTAGCAATAAACTTATTAATTTTTAAAATGAAACTTTATCAATCTAATAATACATTTCTTGGCCATTTTGTTGAAAATAACACATAACAGCTAATAATAGTTTATTGATGATAAAATAAATTTATTGATATAACTTTTTATTATACTCACTAAAATAAATTTGATAAGTATTACAATACAGCAAAAAATAACTAATTTTCAGATTATCATCGTATCGAAGTTTGGATACTTTAAGAATAATTAAGCTATGCATGCATTATTCCGTTTATTTAAGCGTAATTTTCAGCATTATTTTGATCATATTTTGCATAAATCACTCCATACTTATATGTTAATTCAATCCTCCATCACGGTAAAGTAAAAGAAATTGATTAAAGAATAAAAAACTAAAAGTTAAGATAGACTGAAATTGCAACATTTAGTTATCAAAAATGAACAGAAATAGTTTGCAAGAAGAGAAAATGTTGCAATCATCGGATAATTTAATTTAATTCTATCACTGATCAAAGAATTAACACATAAGCACCATTGTTAAACTAATTTGGCTACAGGCATTTATGAAGTGCTTTTCTGACCTTTGTGATTTATGCAAATAAAATAGCAAATAATAGTAATAATAATATTTAGACGAAAACAGAAAAAGTTTTGACTATTCCGTTTCCGTACAAAGTATTTCAGTTTGCCTAAAGGTATGTATTCACCCGGAGCATCTAAATTGATAAATATTGAAGTGATAATGGAAATTACTGAGGTACCAGTGATATTTTCACCGGTCAAATTTGATCGGTACCCATTGATTTTATACTGTCTGATCTGATAGTTTTGCCAAATTGTTGACAATTTGAACCATGAATTTGAAATATCATCGGGCATCGAAATGTGAAAAATTTCCTCAGCATTCAAACTTTATTAATTTATCAAATAATCAGTACAAATTTGGTTAGAAATGAGCATTTTCATTGTGAATAGAGTTTTTCCTGCATGTCTGTCTCTCTTCTTTGTGCATTATATGTCGTATTAGTGGTACAATTGAATGAAGCGGCTCAAAAACGGGTGAATGTCGGCTGCAATGATGATAAGAGTATGTAGAGGAGGATGATCATAAACTTACCTGGCTGGGAGTTCTCCGCGATCAGGAAGGCGGGGGCTTCACAGTGAGGCTTGGTCATTGCACTTTCGGTTCAGGCTGACCTGTGTGGCTATCCCGAGTTGGGATCAGCCAACAGCATAATTTTTGCGTTTGGGGGAATAGCGTTCGCGCTGACCCCCCATTATAAAGCATTGAAGAGACAACAAAGGAAAATGCGTCGTCTCTCTCTCTCTCTCTCTCCTTCTCGATATCTGTTGTTTTTCGTCATCCTTTCACTCCCTACACTGCGATCGTCCATACGATCCCTTTCTCTCTCTGCTATTTTTTCCTCTTCCGTGCTATATCTTCGTTCCGTTAGTGTTCTCTCTGATGGTTCTCTCATTTTTGTAGAATTCTTTTTATCTCCACTTCATTGCAGCGTCACCCTCATCCGATTGTCTGATTGTGTGTTTCTTCCAATCCTCTCCACATATGTACTATTATTAACTTTCCAATCTCGTTGTCTCGTAAAGTTAGAATAGGTTAAATGTTAATTGTACCACTACAGGTGGGTAATTCGAGAGTTGTTGGATAGGTTTTCTTCTGGGAGGTCGGTACATTTCGACCGCGATCCATTACAGAGAATTGTTTTACTAAGAAAGATGGCAACAGAGCAAGCGATTGGAAAAGTTACATTCAAAATCACACTGACAAGCGACCCAAAGCTACCATTTAAGGTGTAAGTTATTCCATTCGTTAAATGTATGAGGATTGTGATATAAGATATTGTTATCCTTAATAATAACACAGAAGTGATTCAAAATGAAATATATTTTATAACGGTTAATTTTGTTAATTACTATTCATAATAATTTTGCTGTGATTATCATTTTTTTTCATTTCGATTCATTTCATTTTCTGCTACGTTCCATTCACTACACTGCAAAAACTATCGATTTGCTGGGAATTTGGAATCCTGAAATATGAGGCAAAGATATTTAACTTCATTGTTTCCAGACTTAGCGTGCCAGAATCAACACCTTTCACTGCAGTTTTGAAATTTGCTGCAGAAGAATTCAAAGTACCAGCTGCAACAAGTGCTATCATAACGAATGATGGAGTGGGTGTAAATCCAGCACAGTCTGCTGGCAATATATTTTTGAAACACGGAAGTGAACTAAGGTTAATACCAAGAGATCGGGTAGGAGTTACATGTGAGTTATATAATCAATCATAAGTTTATTGTTTTCTTTTGTGATATATAGTACGTCGATGAAATGCAATCCTGTGATAAAAGTACTGCCTGAAATTTGACTTCTGATTTTTTTTGATAACTTGGGCTATTCATTCATGATAAGTTGTTTAATATTAGAAATTAAACTGCTTATTTGGGTTGTTCTGTTTATTTCAGCTGAAATAGTTGAAGTATGTTTCGTTGATAATGTTATTTTGGTTTTATGGATAATTTTGTTACTCTGGTATTCTAAAGTGGACCACATTATTTAATTTCTGACCTACGTATCTTTTTTTTGTAGAAAACATGAAGATGAACATTATTTATTGGTCAATTACAACTATTCATTGTTCTTAATTTGAAGTGTTGATCAAATCTAATCCAGGATCATTTTTAAAACTGATAGTACTTAAAAAAATCAAGTATGTGATTTAACAAAAACTCATATTTAAGAAATCCAATAGCCACATATTTAAGAAATGGCTTTTGAATTTTTGCTTATTTATTACATTAAAATATTTTTGATGCATAAATGCGCATCAGCTTTTTAAACTGGGAAAAAAATGACTGCAGTCGATAGGATAATTTTTGATAGATTCTTCAAGCTACTGCAGTGGTGCTACAAGCACCATGTTGCTTCGTTTCTCTCAAACTTGCATTCGACTTTAACTCATGTTCGAAAGCTGAAATTATCTATAGCATAAAAATGTTAAAATCAAAATATTTTATGGAAGTTATATTATAACAAATTGTTATTTAAAATTGTCAATTAAATGAATGCTCCTTCTAAAGCTAAGAAATTTGAAACATATCACTATTGATAAACTAGTTCGAGATTGAACGCATTAATGCAGAATTGGAAGTATTAACTCAAAATCAAGGAATAATTTCAGTACTACTAAACTAATGATATCGAAACAATTTTGAATGAACTCAAACAAGAAGGAAAGAAAATAATAGAGAATTTGAAAACATGAGTTGATCAAGCTAAAATTTAATCGAAGAATTATCGGGAACGTTGGAAATCTAATTACTACTATAAGTGTCTTTATGTTGTTAACGTAGTAATTGTTATTAATTTGAAAATTGGTTTAAATCGTTAATTTGTTTAAAGTCCTCAAAAAAGAGGGAATCATAACCATGAAAATTCTTGCTATTTCTGTGGGCAGTATAAAATCTTCATTTCCAAAGAGAAATGAGCTGAGAAAACCTGGAATTACAAGACTGAATTTTTTTTTTGCTCAGCTCAGTTACTTGTAATTCATTTTGTTAATTAGTCAATCGTAATTGCTTTTTAAATTGATATGCTTCGCCTAATATGCACGCGAGTAATTTGTTTCCAATGTGGTCTTCTAAATTATCATACTGTAAATTCTTACCTATAGCATCTACTTATCTGCAGAATTCTTTCCATCGCTTCAATGATTGATTATTTTCCGCTCTCAATCATTTCTTTTGAGTCGGTGCAATTCATTACAAAGCGATTTTTTTTAATAATATGATACTTGTATTTCTTTTTTCAAAATTCTTATGACATCACAATTCACAGTTAATAGAGCATCTCCTTCGAGACAAGATATTAAGTAATTCAACTTCTGAATGTTTGGGATATTTTGGAGATGAACTGCCGCTTTGAAACTGCTCCAGAACTGTCATCATGATTTTGGATCGCCTTTCTTTTTAGAGTGTAATTCTTTTGTATCTTGCTGACTCAATCGTTGGAAAATTAACTCATAATCGTCAACATACATATTTAAAATAATAATAGTTTTTTTCTGGCTTTTGTGATTAAAATTAAAATATCTTTTACTGTCCTCGACCATTCCCGGATATTTACCCTCTTCTTCCTTTCGTATATATCACAGCGCAATCTTTTAGAATCATTTCTGATTTGCTATTTCGAGTATATTTGTGTGAAGTTCAAGACGCAGAATTTTCTCATTAGTGATTCTTTTTTTGGCTTCATATTTACATTGTGGCTCCTCCCTTAAATTGTTTGCAGATCTGGTGGAGAAAGTTTAGTTTCCACTGATGAGTTTCTCGATTTTTGCTATAGCCGGTACAGCAATCTTTATTGCGATACTGGATATTATAGTTCTCAGTTCATGGCGCCAAAAATTTATCGAGAATTTAATTTGGATTTGAGTGGTCTGTTGCTAGACAAAAATTGTTGTAAGGGTTTATTCTTTGTGGGAGATTATTAATAATACTATATGACAATTATAGTATCATTATTTCTTTCTGATTATTGAAGTAGTCTATTTATTGGTTTGAATGAAAATTGATGAAGAGCTAATGTTGAAAATGATTGTTGATCCGAATGAAGAGAAATTGAAGTAAAAATAACGCCATTTGAATGTCGAGATTTAAACTACCTTTTATAAACAGTTAGACATTAAAAATTGAAGTGAGTAATAATTTCAAAATTCGTTACAAACAAATGATTATAAGATATAAAAATTAATTGTTCCAAAATTTACTCATTAAGTAATAGAAATGGCAATTAATCATGTATATGTATAAGCTTAAATCTTGTGTAAATAAGGATTTTTCGCAAACACAACCGTAAATTATTTGAAATAGAGGGATAAAATTCGTGAATACGTAAATCATTTATTGACATTTAATTGACCATTTTAAATAATAGTTTGTTACAATATAATCTCTATAAAATATTTCGACGATTTTATTTTGAAATTGATGACTTAAATTTTTTGTGCTATAATAATTCCGGTTTTCCAACATTTCCAATAGAAGAAGATTAAAAGGGGGGGGGCAAATGTGTTTAAAATTCCAGCAAAAGGAATTTCGTCCTATAATTACATCTTGCGAAGTAGGTTTCCCTAATTTACTTCTCTTTGGAAATGAAAATTTTATATTTTCTATAGTAATAACTATAATTTTCCTGGTTATGATTTCCTTTTTTACTGTGAATTTGAAAAAATTAAAAATTTTATTGATTCAAATTATAACTACTGTAAACTATAAAGCCACTTATACCAGTAGCAATTAATTTCTAACGTTCCACTGTTTGATTTTTCGTTTAAATTTTTTGATTTTTTTTTTCGCCTTCTAAATTCCCTACTAATTTCTCTCCTTCTTGGTTGAGTTCATCCCAGAACTGTTTTAATTATTCCTTGATTCTGAACCAATACTTCTAATTTGTTCGATTTCGAACTGATTTATCAAATTGGCTTTAAATTCAATGAGATATGCTTCAAATTTCTCAGCTTTACAAGGAGCAGTCATTAATCCACTTGTCTATCAAATCATTTTTTCGTTGTAATAATTTCGCAGCTGAAGTTGGATTGTACTAATTGATAATCATTCCATTTATAGATAATAAAATATTTCGGTTTCGATAGCTTTTTTGATCTATCACATTGAATCGGTATTGAATTCCGTTTGTAAAGAATCAAGAATATACTGAAATTCCACATCTTATGGATCCGTTAACATTTCCCGGACTTATTTCTATCATGAATAATTTATCTCTTGAAGTAATAAGATCCCTCATTATCGGTACTTATTTGTTTTCGTCATTTCTCATTGATTTTCATATTAATAACAATATCTCCTTTCATTATATGTGGAATGATAATTTCGTAATTAACAATTGTTACTGTTTCGTTGTTGTGATTAAAAACAAATGAAACTTGCAATTTATTTTCGATAAATCCTCCTAATTTTTTGTACAAACAATGTTCGTAGCTTTCTTTTCATTCCGATTTTACGAGTTTTCCATTTTGTATTGCACAATGCCCGGCATCGTTAAAGCTATCATAATAATTTTTTACTCATGTTTGAATTCAATTTCAATCTTATTCACATCCACACTGTGATTACCTCGTTCAAACAACTCTTTTCTAGAGTATTACTTTAACAAAGAGTTCGAATGACACGAATCACGAGTCAACTAAGCGTTTGACTCTATTACTGATAAATTACTGATAATAACCCGACAACGTTTGAGAACAATATCTCTCCAAAGAAAACCAACCTTCATCAAATAATTCGACTGTATCAAATCAAAACAAACAAATCAAATGGAAAATTTCACAACAATCCATGAATCTTTCTGACATATTCAATTTACAGTTAATTCGATCTTAATTTGGTTTAAATATTTACTCAAAATGATTTACTATTAGTGCATTGGCTTATCAAACTTCACCTAATAAAATGTTTCATGCCAATAGCTTGAGTTATAGTTTGTCTGTCAGACTGACATGATCTCATGGTTAAAAGTTATTCTTGAGTCGCATCTTGGTGCTTCAGATATGTTGCATGACATTGAGTATGATAAGTGTCGAGAATGAAAGGCATGTTATTGCAAAAGCAATCCACCATATCACACGCTCCCAATTTTTTTTCCGAAAATTACGCAACACGACAGTACCCATTAAGACGCCAGCCACGAAGCCAGCAAGATGCGATACCTGAGATACCTGAAGTTGGATAAAATAAGTTTTGCTGGAAATTTTTTTGACTAACAGATTGCTTAATTAATCAACTAAACAATAAAAAGAGAACTTTATCTGTAGCGTTAAGATAGTAGCGATGATAGATGACCACGGATACGTCACTTGCGATCAGGATGGCTAAAGCAAGAGCTCGGGAAAATGCAAATTCCATCTCGGACCAGTTAATGAGTAATTCGGCTATATGTGCTGCAAGCAAAGCATACACACCTCCAGAGGCTCCGGCCAAATATGTCCGCGGATCAATAGCGTAATCTAGCAAAGAACCTAAAAAATTAGCATGTTCTGAAGATGCTTTCACTACGTTGACAAGAATTAATATGCTTTCATTATGTTGACAAAAATTAATTTTTACATTTACAAAATAAAAAACAGATAGGTTAGAAGATGCAAATCAAATATGGGTTATCGAATGCTTCGAAAGTAACATTTTTAAATTTTTAGAATACTGATCATAAAAAGAAAACAAAAACAGAAGTGCAACAAATGGCAATACTTACCAGCCAGAACACCAGATAGATATACCAAAGCAATTCGCCAAAATTTATGAACTAACTCAAGTGGAATACCAAGAATGATTTGTGTTAATACATTAAAAATTAAATGTGTTATCCTGAAAATCTTCTATATGATATCATCATATTCTTAGAATTTTTTAGTTTAAAATTTAAAATTGCAAAGTTTGTTTGCAATTTTAAATTTTGAAACACAACAAATAATCATGAGTAGTTGTGAAAAGAAAACAAAACAATCTTACCCAATATGAATAAACATATAAGTGAAATATCGCCACACTTCATTAGTTCTATGAGGATTGAATATGAGAAGAGATTTTTGCGGCACTGGTCCATACAATTCAATTCCACTCCTCAATTGTGCAACATAGTAAACATATATTGCTATCTGAAATGGTCTTTGTTTTTTTCAAAAAAAAAAAAAAAACAATCCGTTACAGATCTTCTCGTAATTAAATGATATTTTCTCATTTTAATTTTAATTTAAAAAAAGAGAAGAAGAAGAAGCAAATGAATATGATAATTATCATTGCCACAACAAACTGTACTTTTTTAGCCTAATGATTTTTTCATACTTTTTAGAACAATGAAATATTGCATGCTCTGTAATAATAGGCTAACAATAATAGTAGTAATATGAATTTACCTCTAAGATAGATATGCAAATCATGAAAAATGGTGGAGGAAAGCAGTTATATTGTTGCAAATAATTAAATGGTACTGTTCGACTGCTTCGTGGCACCACCATTTGCGCCGCTCGAAATAATACATGTCGCATGCGTAACTTCTTAGCCCTGCTCATCTGCAATTATTATTCATCGAGAAAATATTACAATACTGGAACTACAAAAACTTACTTACTAAAAATTGAATTAATATTATTAAACCAAAAAAAAAAAGAAAGATGTATTATATATACCAGGGTACAGAATTCAGCAAAATCGAGTAGATGATCACCATTCCTATCAATATTTCTCAATAAAGCATCCGCTTCCTCCCTTGATAATCCAAACGAAGCTGCTGAATTACGAACAAATCGTCTCAGATCATGCGTTGCAATATAACCATCATAATTTGTATCGAACTAAAAATTCGACAATCTTAATACTGATCAATGGAATCATTAATATTCCACTTAGAAAGCACTCCTTTGATAAATATCACATGCCTATTAGCTAAATTTTTAGTTTTTTTTTTTTGCATGCCATATAATTGTTGTCAAATAACTATTAAGGAAATGATGTTTACAAATTTTACTGTAATAAGTGTTATTCATTAAATCTAATTTCAAATTATTACAATAGTAATCTGAAATTTAACACATAGCTTTAATATTTTGAGAATACCAAGCGAATAAGTTTATCATTTTTTTTTTGTTCAGTAAAGGACTAAAATGATATAAGAATTAACGACAAAGAACTATCTGTGTGCTTCATATCCCTTGCCTAACTTTCAGCTTATCATATTCAATAACAGTACAAATATAAAAAGAGGCCAGAAGCTTAGTGAAAAGCTTAGCTTGAAGAAAATTTTAAAATAAACTCGGAGAGTAATGATAGTATTAACCATTTGAAAAATACTAAGCCATGAATGATATCCGTTGGCCATCTGATATCGGCCTTCACTATTCATTGTCATCTCCTTTCTGTCTTCCGTTAAGGCTAACAGCTGTGTGCTTCTCCTTTTTTGTTTGCCACCTGTAAATTTGATTATTTGATTTGATTGCACTGCAATGAAATGATATCGAAAAAAAAAAAACAGAAAATTGAATAAATGAATGAAACATATTTGTTATAATCAATAATTGCCATAAAAAGCTATTCTGTAGATTTCTTCCAACCATAATATCTCTTCAATATAATTTTATGCTTGAGAAAATTTATTTTAAAAAAAAACGTTATTACATGTAAGAATTGATATGCTTTCCATGATTTCATTTTTTATTATTTTATATTTCCAAAATGAACATATCATTATTTTTATAACATCCATTATGTTATATTTAACACTATTTGAATTTATACATAACATAATGACTGCAATGCATCATACAGTATCTCTTCTTTAAGAATTATCATTACCTGTTAATAAAAAAAAAAAAAGAAATTTAGCCTTTAGAGAATTCAGGGAGGGAGAGAGAGAGAGAGAGATAATGGATGAAATATTTAAATAATGATTGAAAGAAAGACTGATATTTCGCTTGAGAATTAAATAAATTTGATTCTTTTTTAAATCGAAGAATTTTGATGAGCATTGTTACATACGATACCATCAAATACATTGTTCAGACTTTATCTTATTATTTAAAAAATTTCACAATTCAAAAAATATATATATATATCACGATATAACACAAAGATTAAATAAATGTTTACATATTACTATTTTGTTATCAACCTTTGACCTTTAGGTAATTCCTTGGTTCCTATCCTTCGTAATTCCTATCCCTCAAACAGTTTCCACGATAATTTTACTTTTTGTTGCTAAGAGGAATAAACTGGAAATTGGAGAGAAGGAAAGACAATGTTTAATTTGAAAAAAATGATAGCGTATAGAGTGACCGGAGATTGTCATTTTCTCTTGTCATTACTGCTAATGGTCATCTTTATGTATGACCAATAATTGAATGGACAATTCATATCGCTCATCCATCCATCCTACTTTTCCTTCCTCATCTCTCTTATATTCCAACCACTCCACCACTATCAACCAATCAAACCGGCAGAGATCAGAAAACAGAAATCGATCATCCTCAATAACAACAGTGGAAGCTTCTTTGGCGATCAATGAATTCGTTTCCGTAGCAAGGAAAAATAAGGCATATCAATCATGAAATTGAGATTAAAATTTTACTTCTCAAATTTATTCACTAATCTAATTTAGCCCAATATATTCAAGCAAATGTAAAACAGAAAAATAGCAGATATCAAAAATGTCGTAAATTCGATGACGAAGAAAAGAGAGTTACGGCATGTGCAATTGATGTTTGGTTGGTTTGCTCTGTATTTCTTCCAGTCGCCTCTCTCCTATCGCCTCTCCATCAATTTTGAAGGTAAGCCAGTTTTTCATAGTGATCAAATGTTTTTCAAAAAGGCCGATTACATTTTGAAATAATTTCAAAGGAGAAGGAGGACAAAAATTTGCAGTTAATGGGGTTGTTTAGTAAATTGAAATCAATGATAAGCCAGTAAGATAACGTGATAAGCTTGCATGATAAGCTGATAAGATAACGTAATAAGCTCACATGATAAGCCAGTAAGATAACACGTTGTGTCTAATTTTAAGGTAGACAAAGCAAATTTTACGTTGAGGAGACACTGAGAATTTTAAATGTTCTTTTTATGATTAATTTATATTACATTTCTCGAATTTGAATTTAATAGAATGCATATTTTAAAACCATCCGATAACATACATCCATCAACTTAGAATAGAAAATCTTCTGATTATGTCTGCTGCAATTTTCCATCCTGTAGTTTATGATTATTTAGCACAGTGGCGGAATTTTTTTTGTTTTAGCATGTCTTTAGCATCAACAATATATGTCAGTAAATTTTTCCAACTTTCTTTTTCTCACAGTAATATCTTTTGAAATTAAACATCAACCCAATTAATTATTACAGCTCATTTGTCGCCTTTGTCAACGCATTATAATTTGCCGTTTATCATTTTTATTTAGTATGGAGACAGAAATTAATGATCAGAATCATTTCTTTAACAATCTGTACCGTCTTCCGGATTTCAATTCTTTCTTGAATTCATTACACTTTTTTTCTCATTTTCGATTCAATGCTTCAATTGTCACTTCACAAACACTGCATGGATGACGAAGTGAGAAAAAAAAAAGAAGAATATTTTGCCGTTTTCTACTCCACGACTTCCTCATTTTCAATTTTAGTTCTGATAATAAGACTTTGATCTTTACAATGACCTATTTGGGAACATTTACCTATCAGTAAAGCGACGATAACCTATACTTCTGATATCATTTAACCATTTCACAGACGATCCAATTATGCTAACCGAAATCTCAGAAATTGATTTTATCGGTCAAATTATTTATGCAAGTAATTTTATAAAAACATTTATGCAAATTATTGCACAAAATGTCTCTTCTTTTGTAGTTCTAAATTTAGCAGGAGTGAATGATATGCAATTAGATTTTGTTGAAGTGACAACGAATGAAAAGATGAAAAATTGACGATCAAATCATAAGGGAGGAATGCATTTATCACGTGTATGCATGCGTTCTACGCCAATTTCGACTCACTTGACCTGCTCTTCGAATGTCTTGTTCATCAAAAATTTCTCCAACCACCTGCAATACGAATACTTTGATCTCCGCAATTCGATCTAATTAATTATTGCGAAGAAAAAAAAAATCAAGTATTCCTTTTTGACTTTCGGCTTCTACTTTAAACTTCTTCATTACCGATTCCCAGTAAAATTAAGTTAGATGATTTAACTTCAGTTTTTAAAGGAAAAAATCCTTTCACTCTAAGTTAAGACTGGTTGGCTTTCTTTATGTTAACAAGTAACAGTTGTCAGGTAAATAGAATTTTTACACAGGACAAAAATCGTTCATATCACAAAATTTGATGTAATATATTGATCGGTAATTTTACTCAGCTAAATTTCAAATTCTCATATTTCTCGCCTTCTAAAATAATTCACCAGCATCACATCGAATCCATCTTTTCTTTTGTTATTAGAGCCTTTTGTGGACGTCTTTATTTTTTGCATTTTTTTTCATGTTTGCTTACTTTAATTTTCTCTCTGTTATTAGTTCAAATTTGCATACAACTAGTCAATTTAAAGTCAATCAAGAATGTAATTTATTGTCGTCTATTTTGCTGACTATTTTCAGATCAGCTTGATTACTTTACTGCAATATGAATCATTGTTATGATCCAATTCTATCACCGTGTGCACAATATTGCTTTTATCCAATTTTGATTTCAATGTTTTAATCCATTTCCAATATTCATTCAGTCAGAATTACCGTTTTGAATTCCTCCATGAATATTCTTTATTTCATCAGCTTATTCCTTTATATTTCATATTTCATTTTGATATGTATCAAAAATTGAATTTCTTGTCGATCTTCGCCAATACGATTCTTTTCATGTAAAATATGATTTCATTTGTCAGAATCTCATATTCTTCCATCTCATCAATTCATTTTACCATAATACTTTGCGCATACTTTTGTTCAGCGGATCACAACAGTTATGAGAAACCGTAGCGATTGACAATTCTCAGATGTATTTGATTTCTGCTATTTGTTTTTTGAAATGATATGCTAACAATCGTTGGGAGAATGTTTTCATTTCATCGTGATCGATCAATCAATGTTGCTGTATGAGAGTTTTTTTGTTGACCATCTGCAAGCTTGCATTAGCATTTTTCCAGTCAGCTAACCATTTTTGCTCTTCTAAAATGTTAGCTGATTTCTTTCTTGTCATTTTGAAAGATGGTCCCTCAACAATGGTATCCATCAGAGATTTTGAATCCTTCCTTTAAATGACGGCTTCTAATTCATGCATTAGAGCAGTTATCACTGTGATTGAAGTTATCATTCATCTAATTATTGTTAGCATTATTGTAATAACAAAGGGAAAAATGATGTGAATAACGACGACTTCGAAAGACAGCACATTAACGATCTTTTGCTTCTCATATGTTACCGAAATATTTGCAAAATGGGCTTAATTAAGATGGAGAAGAGTGAAAACTTTATGAAGACTGATTATGGGATAGATAGAAAAGAGAGAAGTTAAAAAAATTTCAATCTTATCTGCAGAGCAATCATAGATGAACAGTGATTAAAGTCATTCAGATTATAAAGGTCACAAATTTTGGAAATATCATTTAGCCCTATCAAATTATTATCACTGAATATGCTTTCCTTATTTTCATAGGCCGCAGTAAAATTCACCTATTACTTACAGTGCTGTGTAAATAGCCACCTACTATTAAATTTGTAAATAATGATAACCTCTTCGACAAGATCTTCAAGTGTAACGAGTCCCTGAACGATGTAGTCCCGTTTTTGCTCATCATAAGTAATTACCATAGCGATATTTATCCCAGTCCTCATTTCGATAAGTAATTGCAAAACTGGCATGCTATCGATAATGAAGCGGAATTGATTGCTACGCTTCCACAGTTGTACAATTGTACCAATTTTTAAGAAATTTGTCTTACAAAATGGAAGCAAATCTTTCATATTTAATATGGCTATAATCTAAAACATTGTAATAAAAAACCTGATGAAAATGCAAAAGATATAATAAAGAAGCAAATTACAACAATAATCTTTATCATGTCTAAAATTAGTGCTAATTTAATATAGAAAATGCCGTGAAGCAAAAAAAAATTAGTTCGTAATTCATCCATTTCAATTTTCAATTTTAAAAAAATTACGATTTTACGATTGATTATCATATATCAATTCAATATGATGAGCCTTTCAATAACTTTAAAAAGAAAAGCAACTGAAATTGTTTTAAAAAGATGAACCGTATTGCGATCACTGCCGCTGTAGATTGGAATTCGGGTGCGACCTTTGGCAGTAATAGCTTTTAGAAGTGTTTTATCGATAACACTTTGATCAGATAGCATGAATATTTTATCAATAGGAGTCATTATCGTTTTGACTATCTTTTCTGGTAAATCAAAGGCGGCCAATACCAAATCCGTTGTTTCACCATCCATTTGATTGCTTGATTTTTCTTGAAACAGCAATAAAGAGACAATGCAAATGATATGCTGTACTGCCTTATTTCATCTTTCAACTTATTAAAAAATTACCTTTGGTTAAATCTCGTTGCATAGTAATCAATACACGGAGAGTTTTCCGATCGTAAACATCTCGACCTTCTTTACCAAGGAGCCAATCGAGAGCAAGTGAAAAGGGATATGAAATCGGTGCAGAAAGCACCATAAAAAATATTGTCAAATAGCGTGTTCGGCTACCAATATATAAAGCATAGCTAAAGTGTTTGCACTAAGGAATAAACGTCAGATAAAATTCAAATTTATATATCATATTATTACAATTCATGTAAGAAAACAACTGAATTTTAACTCAATTGTTTTTAAAAGTTCAAAAAGATGACAAAAAAAAACTGACATAAAATTAATAGAAGTACCGTGCGCATATAGCTTGTGGAACAATTTCGCCAAGCAAAGTGATTATAGCAGTTGGTATCACTAATGATAAAGCAATCTAAAAATTGTCTTTATTTTGAGTCATAACGTTGATGTGACTACGTTTAGTAATAGGTAGGGGCACGTAATTCATGAATTTGTCTTACATTAAAGAAATAATCTTTCACTGATTCACACATATCACTGATAAGCAATGTGACTAATGTATTGCAAGCGGTATTACCAAGCACGATTGCACAAAGTAAAAAATTGCCATGAGCACGTAATGGTAAAATATTTGAAGCGTATTCACGTTCCTTCTTATCTTCACTGCCTTCCGCTATTAACTGAAACGAAAGCGGAAATTGTAATTGAATTACAATTTCAGATAACAGATATTTGCGATATATTATATTCAGTATGCAAGTAAATCAATAAATTTCTTATTTTTTGTATAAGAAAATTAGCAGGAATGTTTGGGCGGAATGATATTTGATGCAGTGATATCGAAATAAACTTAAATGATGCAACAACGCATGAATTATTTTGCATTAATTTCAGATCACAATTTTCTGCAACATTATTATTTCATTTACCTTAAGATCATCGGTACTTAATGCCATCAAACCAGTAGTAAGGCCTGAGAATATAGCACTTAACGTGGCACATATACCAATTATCATTAGTTGAATGTAAACAGGAAATAAATGAGTTACTGTTTCTTCCAAAATAATCTGTGTAAATTCCATGTTTTCCACATTCCGTTTCGGCATTAGCCAAGATGGTTCAACACATAATTGCATTGGGCGGGTTATACTTGAACCTAACTGAAAATTTATAAACATCAATTGATATGAAATATCGTTCCCCGTAGGGAAATACGTCAACTCAAATGATATTTCTAAGTTTTTTCCATTTTGTAAAAGTTTTTACTCTTCTACAGTATCCTATGTCATCATGGTTACGGTAGCACAAAAACGCTTACGCTATCGACAATACACTGTAGCATATGGTCATCTATTCGTTGTTCAATTTGTACATTTAGATATGCGGAATGAATAATCTTTTCGGGTGAACAAGTAAAATCAACTGAGAACCAAAATCGACTGACATTTGATAAATGATCACCGAAAACAAGCATCTGTTGTTTTTCCTGATTTTGCGCCAATCGAGTTACGAAATTGAAATAATCATCATCTCTGTATATTTACATTAATCAGTAACAAATCAATCGATCATATATTTCAGTATTGAATATCAGAGATTGATGTTGTAAACATGTTGTATAGTTTAGTATGTAAAATCTTAATGAAAACTTACAGTCTTCGTTCGATTCTTATGCCATACAAAATTGGATTAATAGTTCCATTCATTACATCATCATCATCTACAACAATTAAATAACTGTTTTAAATAACAGTCTAGAATTTAAGCGAAGCTTGTTATTGTGCAAGAAGTAACAATAACATTCTAGTTAAAATTTTGAAAATAGATTAATTCATCAGTTGATTATTCTGACATCAAATATAAGCTCAAAAATTTTGGCTATGCCTTGTAAAGGTGCTAATTGATCAAATTTCATGAGAATGGTTTAATGAAATAGGTTTTATAATTTGTTGTTCAATCTTTTACAGATAATGTGAAAGCTTTTCAATTTTCACAAGAACTTATCAAAGTTTACAAATCAGTTGTTTCACTCTTTTATTTTCAAAAACTTTTTTTTAAATAATGTAATTTGCATACAGTATTTTTCTTCCTGTATTGAATTTGACAGAAATTTTGCGTATTTCTCGTTGTGTAAACTTTGCACCTATAAAACCAAACGAATATTTTTTTATAAATAAATCTTTTAATTTCTGTTTTCTATACGATTTTTTCATTTTACAAGATTTCTCCATTCATCCATTTTTATGAAAGATGAATGTATCAAATATAATTGAACTACTCAGGGCATTATATAATTCACTTATCCAAATTAGCTCATATCTGCTATTGGCAAGTGAACTATCTTAAATATATTTATAGTTGCAACTGTTTATTTTGAAAAATTAAATGCAGACAAATAATTTCAAATGATTAAAAATTATGATTTGAAATATCGGAATAATTTTCATATTAAAAAGTTATGATCTTCATGAGGTCAAATTTATTTAGTTGATGAAATGGATTGCAATGTACCATTAATAGTTTTAATAAAATGTAGAAAAAAATACATACAACCATTCAACAATATTACAAATTTTAACAGTAACAAACTGTCTTATCTATTTGTTTTATTAATATTTATTTTACTTCGATGCCATATTGTCTTTCAACGAAGCACTTCTTTTCCTAATTTTACATAAATGAACATGAAATTATTGAGTTGTGTTCGGTTGTTTATACATTTATAAAATAATGATTAGGTGTTTTATCAAAAATGATATGATTCTCAAGTGATAAGTCCACCCAGCAAATTTTCAATAATTCATCAAAATATGACAATTCCACAAAATTTGTCTAAATTACTTATGCTGTCAAGGATACGATTGAAAGGAGAAATGTCAAATTGTGCAATTAAATACTTTATAGTGAATAGATTGCAACAAACATATATGACGAGATAGAAGGATTTCAAGTGTACTTTTAGCTTACAGAAGGAAATATTAGAGATTGGAAAATTACACGCTCAATATTATTTACTTATCTTTAAGAATTAGAACTTTCAAGAAAGTTCCAAGAAATGGAAGTTGACAATTCAATATTACTTTGTTAGGTTTATTTTCTGCATCATTTTCATGACTACAATCTCCAAATTACGTCAATAGATTAAGTAAATCTGAGTACCATTTCTGATTTTAAAGTATTTCAATTAATCCAATATCAATAAAACAATTAAACATTAAAAATTTAAATTGGATCGTGATATGATATGAAAAATTTATCCATCATTTACACTTCGACAAATTAAATGAAAAAATTAGAAATTAGTAAAGAAATTATTCGTAAAAAAAGACACAAAGATATGTACTGTGTACAGTAGCAATATACGGTAAAATGATATGCTTCACGTACAGATCACTTCGATCAAATAATTCGTTCCAAATTTCAGCTTCCTGCACCACTTAATGTTATACCGTCTTTAACCCGAACGATTCCAGCCATATCAACCACAACTGTTATCGGCGACGAAAGGTTCAATTTGTCCACGGTTTCACTGATCGATTCCGCAGTAAATTCCAATTTCTCCGCTGGTTTATCCGAACCATTCTCATCCGGTTTATTTTCCGCATTTAACGATCGTGTCAAATAGTATCCGTAAACCTGGAAAATTTTTTTAATATTTTCATTACAAAAATTTTTAGATAACAAAAAAATACGAAATACAAAATAATTCTGTAATAATAGGCACAGAAATGAACGAGTAGAATCCGAAACAAAATAGAATCTTGAAGTAGAATGGAATGGGAAATAGATAGCTGAATGCTGAACTGAAGAAACGAGAGAGGAGAAAACGAAAAAGGATGAGATTGAAAAACAGCAATAATTCTAAAGTATCAATGATCTGATGCAGACTAATCTCGAGGATTTGATTAAATGGAGAAAAGGAAAAACAATTGGGTTATAATTTTTAATTCTTGGAGAAGATATGATAATAGAAACAAAACATTGCTTCTCTCTTCAGAATCGAATCTCGAGAAAGAATAGCGTGATAACGAGTTTAGGGTCAAGTCAGGAGAAGAAAATGGATTATCAAAGAGAGGGAATTATACACTTTAGGCTATCTTCAGTGTAAAAGTTATTCCTAAGCACTTCTCAGATGAAAAGCATTTGTGAGTTTGAGACAGGTACTGCGGAAGATTTCATCAGCATATGTCAATTAAGCAAAGAACCTCAAAAATACAGAGAGACTGCCTTATTGCATTGTATATAGCAGGCAACAAAATTCTATCTAATTGAAATTTTAAAAAAAGGAAGAAAAGTAAATTTAGCCTTCTCTTCGGGAGCAATGTTCAATTCTCTTCTTATTTCTCTGATCAAATCAGCAATTGTACCGATTCGATCGAATGGAAGTTTCTTACTTTCACTACCATCACTTAATTTGATATCAATTTCAAAGTACCTCTGCACTGATTTAAAATTTGCCGAAAATTTTATAGGCTAAAAGAAGGAATATCAATAAGTATATACAATTCTCCATAAATTATAGAAATCTCTTGGAATACTTTTTGTTGTAATTGTTTAAATAATTTTCTTTGTCTAAAATAATTTTTTAGCTATGAATATACTACAAATTACAGTATTTAACGAGAGTAATACTGCATTATTACTAACGGTAATTGTTTCATCCTTGATCATATAATAGTAGGTATTATCCAGTGAAAGTTTGTCGAAGAATGAAGATTTTCCAGGTAACATTGAACGGATGGCAATTACGGATTCCATGCTATACAACGCACTGCATGATTCATTAGGACAATGTGGTAGAGAACCTTAATTCTCATTTCTTGTAAAAAAAAAAAAAACAGAAATATTCCCGAATTTTATAAATTTACAATAGTATATATGGATATGGATGTAGTACTGTATGTTTTAAATAAAGTACTAAATACAGATAGATACAGAACTAACCAACAGATTCACAATCATCGATCATTTGCTCGAGGCATTGTATGCATGTAGCATGTTCACATTCATCTTTTGATGGAAATCCACTAATTGTCAAATTTTTACATTTAGATCCAGCTTGACATCTCGCTATCTAATAAATGCATTTGGAATTAAATCAATTATTCGTATTTTTAAAAAGAGAGATTGAGCATTTCGTTAAAAAAATTTTTTTTACAATAATTAGTTTGTTAATAATGTTATCTTTACTAATTTGAGTAGAGATATCTTCTCAGCTTACTAGCAATTGCAAGTTTATTTTCTCAGTTTTCTAGCATGATTAAAAAAAAATTAATGAAAAAAAAAGAGCAAATATACTGATCCAATTTCATTAACGTCAGGATATTTAAGGCATTCTGTAGAAGGGCATTTTTCTTCACCATCTGAAAAATATACTCAACTTCTTTTCAAAAGAAAAAGAAAAAAGAAAATGTTTTATAGTAAGGAGAATAAATTTAAAATTTAAAACTTCTATTCCTTTCCTACTTATCATATTTAGATTGTATGTTATTGAAAATTCCCTAAAAAACTAAAAAGAAAAATTAATAAAATTGTTGTGAAATATTTTATATCTTTAATAGATTGAAATTTTGTGCAAATTTTTCAAAAGAAACTATTTTGATAAGATCAAAATGATTACCTGATGAATGTTTACGACCGAATATACTCTCGAAACAAGAGAAACATATTTTTGCTTGGCAACACTTTGTTGTTATATATTTGCCTTCTTCCAGGAGCTTCTTACATATACCATCGCATAGGTTGGATTCATCCGCTTCGAATGTCTTTCCCTCACATCCTTCCACCGGGCAAACTGAAACATCGACCACTTCCTGCACAGAAATATATTTACTTAATTAATTAGATGATAAAATATTGATGAAATTTGGATATTGTTGACAGATTATATCAGTACACATAATATTATTTCCAATTAAAAATGGGAACAAACCTGGATTGGATAATTGTTTGTATTCTTCCATACATGTTGAACAGATATTATGTTTACATGGCAAACATTCTAACCAAACTGCCGAAAGTTGCCTGCAAAATTTAAAAATTAATTTGTAAATAATTCAATAAGTGTAATCAAAGGATAAAAAATGCTTATTTATCCAAATTAAACAGTTTTGAAAGGTTTATCCATCAATTTAGAAATCTCAAGAATGAAATTTAAATGATCTTAGGGATGGCAATGCGTAAAAATTAAAGAGATGCACAAGATTCATTTTATAATATTTAAATAAGTTTAAATTACCACTAATTTGTGAACTTTGGTTATAATCCAAGCAGAAATGGGAATAAAAAAACGAGATCTTAAAATAAACGAAACATCAAAAATTACTCACTTATCGCGCTGCAGGAATTTGTATTCAATTCAGTGTTTTTGTTTTACTTTTCATGACAGCAATAAAGTCAAATATTTATTATAAATGCAACAAAAAGCAAATTTCTTGATTGATTAGTCTTTGATAGGTAGCGAATTAACATTAAGAATGCTAACCGAGAACAGAATTGACTTTCGCAATATTTCCAATTCAAACGTCTTTTGCAACTTTCGTCAAATACTGAGAAGCAATTCGATGCAAGACAAATCTGATTCATTTACAACAAATTTATAAACATACGTACGACAAAATCTAGTTCAGAATCTCTCTTTTCCACTATCACAGATGTGTAAGCATTAGAAATAGAAAACAGGGTAAAAGGTCAAAATCCTGTTGCAAAATATTCATTCCTATTTATTTGCTTTCATGATATTCAAATTCTATCACGAAAGCAGGCAAATAGAAAAGAAATTTTCGGCTGAAAATAATTTTGCTTTAAAATAGAAATGGAACTGATAAGGCATATAAAAGCAGTAATAATATTTATCAGCAGTAATAATATTTGATATTAATGACAAATTTGAAAATCTACCATAGGTGGAACAATTTTTTGATGACTGCCTGAGGAAGTGATTTTTGAATTTAATTCTATCTAAAATATTTATTTTATAAAACTTCACAAATTTGAAACATTTTTAAGGATCACTTGTAAAAATGAATTGTGACAAAAAATATTAACCTTACGTGCATTTCTCCATTGTTCCACACAAAATTTACAAAAAATATGCAAGCAAGGGGTAAATTGAAGAGTTTTTTCAGGTGAAACAATTTCACTGCATACAACACATTCCATCACCGTTCAGTGCAACTTCACTGATCAAAATGATGAAATAGCAAAAAATGTTCACTCATAAATAACTTCACATTTCATCAATAATCATTGTTAATCATCATCTTGCACATAATAAATTAAATTCGTCCATTCATTTTCGTCAGATCACGTAGCATTTATGTTCAATTACGCTGAACAATGAACCTTTATGATTATGAAGTTTCAAATCAATCTAGCATTTCTTGCATTATTCTGATTGATATTCAAACATTCGCACACTTTAAACCCAACTGGTCTAAACAACTGTCCAGTAACTATTTAGAGTTAAATAGGCTTACTCAACTTCATTTCATAAATATATCATTTCCTTGGAAACTAAACAACTCTTGCTTAACATATCATCTAAATGTTATCATCATTTATCTTTGAGGAGAAGCAATAACATGCATCAGTTTGTAAGAGTTTTTTACTTCCATGACGATACTGACACATTTTTTTGTTGATATGTGAAAAAAAAAACGAATTTATTATAAACAGACCTGAAATGTTGGAAAACAAATTGGCTACCTCAACCGTTGTTGACAAGTAATATCCATGAGTAAAAGAATTAGCACAGAGTTGTAAACAAGTGTTGCGCATTACTGAGTTGTTTTGTTTATTAATATTTTATTTTATTTAAAATATGATGAACATGATGTGCGTACAAAAAAGCAATTTTAAACAAATTAATTTGATTTTAAATAGCTAAATCACATTGTAGATGTTTATAAAATAATGAATATGGCAACAGAGATAGCGATATGATAAAGAATTGATGATGTGGAAAACATTCTCACAGTTCGTTTTGCTTCATGTGCTACACCAAGTTCTGATAAATCGTCAACTTCCATTAGTATTACTTCTTGCTTCAGATCAGTAATAATGACGCTGTCTGTTCCCAGAATATCTCGAATCTTTTTCGCCTTCATTGATTGTGCTACAATGTATATATTTTGTAATATCATGTATTTACTTAAAAAAATATGATGCTTAAATGTTTATAAATTAATTGTTTATCATTATGCTTAAGTGCATTTTCCAAGAAGCTAATGAAAATTCGAGAAATAATATTTGAAAACAAAAGAAACTAACAATTTTTAACACAAAGAGCAAAATCGGATTTCATTTCGCAAGTGCTTTGAATGACTGCTGAAAGTTCATTAAATTACACGATGAATTTTTTTTCTTGTGAAATTGGAAAATTTACAAGATAAGTCTTATAGATAAGTCCCGTTCCTTCCTTTCTTCAAAGCTTTCTTTTTTATTTAAATAATTTTTAATTAAATACAAAAAGAATTTCGATGCATATCAAAGGAGCATATCTTTAATATTTTCATCATGTGTTCAATCTCTATGTTGAAGATGCTAACTCGTTTGCATGTCTTGAACTCAAGAAATACTTGACATGATTAACAACAACCTGGTCGGAGTGGCATGAAACTTCTTGATAATAATTTTCACAATTTTTAATTGGACGTTCCAGATTTTTCAGAAAAAATGAAATATTTAAGAGTATACACGAAGCAAGAACAAGAGAAAAGCAAATCCAAGAACTTTGCTAAATTAAAAAGTAGTTTTAAGAAACTAACAACCGCCAGGCAATTCCAACATGAAACAAAGTGCTTTTGTAGAATTCGAGGCTGTAATATTGATCTGAAAGAATTTTACATTCAAAAACTTTAAAACTATTTTTTTTTCTTTTAAAATGAGCAATAATAGCTCTGTTTGAGGAAATCTCGATACTTAAGGCAAGATGAGCTTTTCTCAGTTCAATGGTTTGTTCTTCTTCAATCTTAAAGAGTGAATTAATTTTAAAGCTTTTAAACACTTTGAATCATACACAAATATCTCATGCAATTTCTGAAAAGTACATCTACAATCAGTTTAGTCATTCAGATGTTTTCAAATGCAAGAACTTATTAAGTTTTATTTCAATTTGATCGACAACGAAAAAAGGAGACAATTTTACCCCAACGGTGGCATATTTATAACCAGCAGCTGTTATGGGCTCTTCCTTTTCATTTCTGACTTTCTGATTGATATATCCATACTGCTTATGAATATGTTTGGCAGTATTGACAGCAAAACCTGATGCTTCACCAATTTCTGAAAATATATTATTAGCTGAGGAATTTCTACCTATATCTAAAACTATTATACAAAAAGATTATCATGAGTTAACAGTGATCATAACACATAGTACTTTTGAGAATTATCTTCTAAAAAATTATGATCACTTATGCTGCGGAAGCTACTCATTATGCTAATACAATTCAAGAGGTTGTAGAAATCCGAAATAATTCCTTCATATTTTCATATGTCCAATCAAATTTAGAGATAAATGCGACATTAAGAGGAAATGTTGATAACATCTGTCAGCATTTAGTTTTAGTACACTTCTCTGAAGTATTATCAAGTTTTTCTCAAAATATTTCTGGAAAATTTTTCCAATATTGATCATTTCAAAAAGAAAAGAGTACTGAATGCTAAAAACATCGCACATTCAAGATAACCCTGAAGTTTTTTTTTTACTCCAACTGCACTCAACATTAACTCTCACTTACACAGTTTATATATGTTCTAGTTTTGTCAGAGAAGGGAAATTATCAAAATGGTTCTTATTCAAGCAATATAACAAAGATAGCCATAAATGTTAATCTATAATAGCTTTCAATGTTGTTGGTAACTTCTGAACAGTGACAAAGAAACGTCATGGAGATAAAAATACAATTCTATGTTCAAAAAATGTTTCCATGTTTAAAAATGTAATGTTTAGAAATGCTTTAACCTCAAACATTACTATGCTTTTCCCTTCTTCTTATTACTAATTCACACTAACAGAAGAATTGCAGAATATCCGAAAATAGAAACACTATTAGTAGCTCTCAACAATTTTTTTCTGAACCGTTACTTTGCATGATCTGAAGATCGCCTGAATCGATTGGCTCAAATAATTCGGAATTTTGAGATTTGCAATAGCTTGAAACAGCTTGAAAATCATTTCCATCCTGAAATTGAAATCAAGATTTCTAAACAGCTATGACTTTTGTGAAAAATATTTTAACTTTTTGCCATCAATTTATTAAAACTGATGACAAATTAACAAATGGATAAGGAAAATAGTAACAAATAATTATAGATCAAACACAGGAATAAAAGAATGCATGAATAGATGGTACTTTTTATAAAATCAAGAGTACCAATTTAATCAACTACTGCAAGCCATTTTAAACTAAAAACATTCGAACATGAACGATGTACGTATGGAAGTCGCATTTTAAGGAATAATTTGCCGAGCATTCTTGTTCCTCACAAATTTTTTTCCATGTCAATCCATTTAATGAATAACAAACTAACCATTGATGGATCTGCGAACTCATGAAATAAGTAACATTTTGAAGCATTATTAATTGCAAACAACACAAATCCATCATCACACTTCTGTTTCTCAATAACTGACACTGAAAAACAAAATTATGAGATGAGAAGAGATCAAAGTATATGTATATGTATATTCACTTGACAGCTATTCAGAAGCAATCAGAATCCACCAAGGTTCTGAACACTACAAATTTCGTGTCTTTTCATCAATTTCACTTTACAAGAAGAATATCAAAAGCAAACATGCTGAATTTCGATGTTCGCATATTACTGTTTCATAGGTATCTTTTTTATTGCCTGGATTAAACGCTAAAAAAAATTGAAATTATATTTTAATAAAAGACAATATTTGCTCTATACATATAAAATCAATTGTGACATCAAAATGTCATTCGCTATCAGATGTTTCAAACATAATCGCTCTCGAAATAACAGTAAAATGAAAGTTGATATTATTATGATAAAAAAATACTTACTGGAAGAGAATGATTTTCAAATCACTCATGAATTTATGTATGCATGAACTTATAAAGTTAGTCACAACCTGGTTGTTGGTGATAGTTTAATATATTTTATCAATTTAATATGAGATAAAATCTAAAAATTTTCTATAGACCTGTTTATATACATACATATATGTTAACAAACGTACTGATATTATTTTTTGCCTTAGTCGCCTGCATTATTTCCAATGACGGTGCAGTTAACTTTGTGTCAAGCTCACTTTTTTTTCCATTACGTATTTGCATCCATTTATTCTTCTCATGAACAAATCCAAGCGGTATTTTCGCTTTTTCCAAGCCTATATATGTATATTAAGTTGTGCAAGTTATTTAGATCATAATAGTAATAATTTCATTATTTTTATTTTAACTTTATCATCTCTATCATTTCATGATATTTGTGACACAAATTGTCACTTTACTTCAAATTGCTTTCTCTGGAACAGGATAGGATTCATCACATTTATGCAAATTTTTTAATTGCGCATGATCATATGTCTCGAAAAAGAAGCAATATAATAATGCCCAGTATGATGCCTTGTAAAATTTTGAATTATCCACAAGATTGTTATCACTGTTGCTTCCAGAAAAATGTTTTTAATAATAAGGTAAAATATCTAAACAGGTTTCACAATATTAAAAAAAATAAATCAACTTATTGCGCTAATATAAATTTGCATAAATCAAATTAAAAAATCTTCGTTACTCTTCTAACACAATTTTTTTCTCTTTCGAACAGAAATTTCAATTATGATAAAGACATATTAAAATATACCAGTCTCTGTTAATATCATATGTAGTAATTCAGTCTCAGCAACAATTGGTGTTGGTAATTGTCCACCGGTTTCTTTACAATAATCATTTGCTTTATCCCAGTCCATCGTTGATTTTACCTACAATAGGCCTCAATTGAACTTTAATGCAGTATAGCAGCAGAGCTAATGTATGCAAAGCCATGTACAATATGATTTGCAAAGTTATCTTACTTTTGCAATTCCAAAGCATGCTGGCTTATTTATTTTCAAATCCTGCTTCCAATTCAAAGTCCCATCGAAGCAAACCATATCTTCCTGTTCGCCAGCTTGAACAGCTATAACCTGCAAATGCTAATCTGTTCAATTCACAATTCACAAATGTTTAAATCGATCACGACATGCACTAATTTTACATTCAATTTATGCCTGTAACTATATATATTAAAATATTATCAATTAAGGAAGATTTATTTTTTAAAGTAATTGATAGGTATTTTTCCAGTTTTAGATTGAATTTTAAATATATCAACTCTGATCTCAATTAAAGCTGTTGCAAAAAAAATCGGGTTAATTAATTAAGTGCTATGATAATTCTGATAGACATATACTCGAAATTTCTGAAAATCTTTTGTAGCAACAATGGCGATACGGTACTCGACGAAGAGGTGACAGTTAAATGCACCAAAAACTACAAAAAAGTACAACCGTAGAAATGGAACTTTGAAAACAAAATGATCGAGAATTGAAATTTCAATTTACAGTAGAATCATGAAATAAAATATCAGGAAAAATGAATACCACGACTAAAAAAGAGCAACTTGCCAGAAGCTTATGCATTTGAAAATAATAACTTAATCCTCACTTTTCATTACTTATATTCTAGAATTGCTGACAGAAATAATTAATGCTATGAAAAAATTTCTATTTCTTTTCATAATTGTACTTTAAAATATTCAATTTTTCTTTTAAAATATTCAGAATTTTTTTTTACGAATGATAACTGTACTTTAAATATCAAATTTAAAAGACTCAAATAGTTGAAAAAGATATTTCAAGAAAAACTGCCCTATTTTCTCTTTTTCATTTTTCACTTCACTTCATCATTTAATCGCTAGAAAGTCGAGAAAAGCATTGTAATTGCAATGAAGAAAACTTTCAATATTTTAATTTGACAATGAATTTACTCAAAATAACATCTCAAATTTCACTCATTTATATTGATCAGCTGAAAAGATAACGTTGAAGTGAGAATCCAAAATGCTTAGTATTTAGTTTTTAAGCTCCTAAATTTTTACCTATGCTAATTTTAGTAGGGAAAGTAAAATGACGTGAAATGAAATAAAATAAAGTGGAAGAATGAGGGGTTTGTTAGGTCAGGCAAATTAATATCACATTCTTTGGGTATGCATATATCTATATAGTAATATGCAAATGTAGATCAGGCTTGTCAAATTTAACAAGCGAAAAGCCTCATATTACTCCTCAGCAAAGAAATGTTACTGCAGGATCAGCAATTTCATAAATGTCTCAAATTTTAAATTTGAGACCGTGCACAGGCTTTGTTGATTTCAATAATTCGTTAAAAAAGGAAGAAGGAGTGAGAGGGAGAGGAGGGGAGAGGGGACGGTGTACGTGAAGGGGGTGCGTGGTTACCCCGGTTTTGGGTATTGTTTTGATGAAGTTATTCAATGGAAAGGAATGGTTTGTAGATGGGCAAGTCGAAGAAACTGAAATCAGGCGTCGGTGATTTGATTTCCAAGCCTGCACTTCCACTGGATCTGCAGATTGAACGAAGTAGACGTGAAAGTGGACGTGATATAGCGCGCGTGAAACAAAAGAGATTGAAACGGGAAAGACCGGATGATGAAGTAAGGATATGTTATAAATGTTCTTAAGCCTTAGGCTTTTTTAAATAGCCAGTGTTCTAATTTATAAAAAGGTCATATGATTTTTTTTCAGCCATGTGATTTTTATTTTTATTTTTATAGTATATCGATGAATCGCTATCAAGTAAAATTCTTAAAACGGCTTGGAAACAAAAGCAAGATATAGAATCTTTGGAGGAAGCAAAAACAGATGATGTGGTACAAAAGGATACATTAGAAAGGTTAGATAGTTGTTTTATTTTTGTTTCATAAAGTTATGGTGTTCATCGATTTAACTACACACATAGAATAGTAGCTCATAATCACGAAATATTGAAAGGCTTTGTTGATTAAAACATTCGATAATAGTTTATATATTAATTTAGTAGTACTATTTTTTTAGGCTACTTTAAAAGCAGAAAATTTCAGATTCCTTAAGGCTTATTTTACATAGTATAAGGTGTAAACATTACTAAATTTATCATATCACAATATGATTTCTTATAAAATTAATTATTCAAGGATACGGAAAGTAAGCCTTGGAAACGATTCTTTGAATTCTTTATCGGACGATGATTACATCTCTGATAGTGATGGTTATGATGATGCTATTTTGGTCAGTGCATATTTTTTATACACTTATGACTAAAAATGTTTAACATTCAAGTTTGTTAATGCACATATAAATCCTTTTATGTTAAGACTGAATTTCAAAGTCATGAAATTAAATTCATCGAATCATTTACAGAGTTAAGATTAAAGAAAATAAAGGAGAACGAAAGTACGTTGTAATAATTTTATATTAATAAGGAATCTATCAATAATGAGTATATTACAGCAAATAAATCCAGAAGATGAAAGAGCAATAGAAAAGTTTATGTCAAAAACTAATACTCCATCGCGGGCACTTAACGACATAATAATTGAAAAGATTGAGAAGAAAAAATCGGAACTTGAATTGCAAGCAGTGTGTCCAGAAGATGATGACTTTGTGGTATCTTTTTCGAAAAGAATTTTGACATAATTACAATATTTTTTTGTAATAAATAAGACCTTGCACTAATATTGAGAATTTAGCAGTGGATGAGAAGATATAATGCTTATGTGCATGTGCTAAAGCCGTTTCAAAAAATTTCTTTAATTTTAGATAAAGCAGATGGATCCAGCAATTGTGGAAATGTATCGCGAGATTGGTTTAGTGTTATCTCGTTATCGGAGTGGTAAAATACCGAAGGCTTTTAAAGTCCTTCCGAAAATGATGAACTGGGAACAATTATTATAGTGAGCTTTATTACGATGTGTTTGAACTTTAATTTTCAAATCATTGGGTAGTTCTGAGGTATCAAATATTAGAATTGGATAGCAGGTATTCTCAAAAAAATCAATTTTTGAGCTTTCTTGCAGCCTTACAAATCCTGATAAATGGTCGGCAGCAGCTATGTATCAAGCAACCAGGATATTTGCATCAAATCTTCATTCCAGGATATGTCAAAGGTTAGTCAACTTTTTCAAAGTTTTAGCGCACCAGGGAGTTTTGTTTCTCTTGATACTTTTTTCTGAAAGCAATTTATTTTACAATACCATTTAGGTTCTCAGTTCAGCATAAAAAATAGTTTGGCTTTTTGTTAAGATTCTTCGAAATTTCTGCTTCAAAGTCTAGTTTACATTTCGAAACATGCTTTTTCAGGTTTTACAATTTGATATTATTACCGCGGTTAAGGGATGATATTAGTGAATACAAGAAGCTAAATTTTCATCTATTTCAAGCATTGCACAAAGCGATTTACAAGCCACAGGCTTTTTTCAAAGGAATTCTTTTGCCACTTTGTGAAGTAATTTGTCTCCTACTACTTTGTCTCCTAGATAAAAATCTCATATCAATAATAAGAATAATAAGAATTTAAACAAAAAGAAATGAAGGAATAAAGCTAATTGGATATGTTTTTTCATTGCGGGAAAATTTCACTACAATGAATGAAATTTATCGAGTTACAAAATTCGAGACTGAAAAATTCACTATCTTCCCTGTGGAAAAGCTTATTAATCAGATTTTCCTGATGAGCTGCAAAAGAAAAGTAGGAAGAACGGGAAGTCGAATAATTTCATAATAAAGAATGCAAATAAATTAATTTTGCAGTCAGGAACATGTACATTACGCGAGGCAACGATTTTCGGTTCAGTGTTAGCAAAAGCATCGATACCAATGTTGCACGCTGCAGTTGCGATGCTTAAAGTGAGAAATCACGACTTTATTTTTTTAAAGGCTAACCATTTGGTTTCACTGATCTTTTTGCATTTATTTGTTCTTATTCAGATCGCAAATATGGAATATACTGGTTCGAATTCATTATTCTTGAGGATATTGATTGATAAAAAATATTCTTTGCCATATAGAGCTATTGATGCACTGGTAAATCATTACCTCAGGTAAGCTTCACATATTAACTTGTTGAGTTTCAGCTAGCGTAAGCTTGATAATATAATTTTTTTTCTTTGTTTGCTGCTAGGATATTTCAAAACAAGATAAGAGCGGTTAAATCGCACTCAAGACTGTATGATTTATTGAACCTGGTTTTTTCTAGATTTCGAAAAGAAGAACGACAGTTACCTGTTCTTTGGCATCAGTCACTTTTGGCTTTCGCGCAACGATATAAAAATGATATCAGTAATGAGCAGCGCTCAGCTTTACTGGAACTAACAAAAGTAAGCTTTCATAAATAATGATTTCCAAGTTCACTATCTTTATCATGACTTAATTTATGTCAAATTTTCATTAGCCTGTCAATAATATGGAATACAGCCACCAAAGACAGTTTTTATGATTTCAGGTTTTACTACTCTTGTTTAAATTATTTGGATACGAAAGACATATAGTAACTTTATCTTGTTTTAGGTGCAAAACCATTATCATATAACGCCTGAAGTTTGCCGTGAGTTAATGTCTGCTAAGAAGAAAGAAAATGAAACCGATGGGATGTTGTAAGTGAATAAATTGTGAAAAAATACAGCTACCGTTGTTTGAAAAATTTGTATTTATGCTTTTACTTTGACTGCGGTATCCGTAACTGAAGAAAAGATACGGGATGAATTCATTTTATTCTCATCAAAGATTAATTTTATCTTGTTTCATGTTTTGACATAATTCAAACTGTGTTCTCGTTTGATGTTTTGACATGATTCATATTGTTGGCGTAATTCACAAGTGACAATTCTTATGATCATTTGCATTTTGAATAATAAAATAATATAAATGAGAAAAAGAGTAATAAAGAATTTGGGAAATTGGTTGGTAGTTGAAAGCTACTTGATTACATGTTTTTTTTTTTTTGTAATAATTTTTATTTGAGCGCATCAATGACGGGATGTATTTGATGTCGAAAATTTAACTGCTAATTTCTGAAATACAGCAATAGAATTTTATCTTATCTATTATGTTCTGAAATAAGCAACAAAAGTTTGACATCGGTTTATTAAGTCAAAAGTTACTCGGGTGCTTCAGGCGATCATTACTACGTATTATAAACTAATACTGACAATATTCTGTGTTGTAGTCGTTTAGGCTTACCCATATATTTGCTGACTTGCATTTTAGATTTAACCGCTCACTGTCTCAGTTTGATAGCTCTTACGTATTTATTTAATAAGAGGTTATGATCTGGTTGATGTCTTTGGCATTGAAGTGATTGATCCTGTTTCTTGAGAAGATATGGACTTTTTTGTTCCGATATTTCGTAATTTACTGATCTTATCTGGTTCTTATCCGGTTGTTTTTTGAGCTTTTGATTTGAAATTCTCAATTTCGAATTTTAAGAGACTACATAATCCTCAGCAGGCAACATAATCTTCAGCATTCCTGTCCATCTTTTCCAATCTTTGTCCATCAGTCATTCCTTATTCTTGTCATTTCAATTGTCGTTTTCCGTTTAAGTTTAGTATTCATGAGTAGTTTGTAGTAGTCTTGAGAATCTTTTCAGTTTATTAATTTTAGTCTCTAGATGTTATATCCGGTTGAACGGTTCAGTCAATTGTGGTGTGCCGACAAACAAATCACAGCACGACTATTGTACAATGCTTATGCGGAATATTACGTGCAGAAAAGAATGAGGCGAAGGTTTGTTCTTTGGCAGAATCTCAGCTTTTAATTTTATTTCCAAATTTTAGAATCTGATTAATTGTGTTCTCTTTTTTACCTTTGGCATGGTATTCAATTATCTGCAGTTTTTGTGATATTGATTTCTTTTAAAAAACTAATTTGAATTGGCTTGATACTTCATTTACTATTTTGTTATCACCATTCGAAAAATCGTAGAAATTTGGAATTATCATTTTTACGTCTATGAAAAAGTAAATGTGTGCATGCAAAATAGGTTTTTACAACTCCTCTTTGTAAAATGTTATTGTCTTATTTTAAATTAAATCTTTGCTTTTAGGACACTTACTCCGCCACCGTGGGTGCCAAAGAAGGAACAAAACATTATTGAACCAATTGAACCCAGCACACGAGTTTTGCTTCAGCAGTTTATTAAACTGGAGAAGAAAGGTAATTTTTAAAGGTGGAGTTCCGAAAGTAGTGAAATAGGAAAACGCAAAAAAAAGGTTATTCTTTGTCAGTTTTGATTTTTGCTAATAACAAATGATTGGTTTTCATTTTTACCAATCATTAGTTTTCATTCTTACAAATGATTGGTTTTCATTTTTACATAATTGTCGCTCTATTCGTTAAAAAAGTTATTACTTTATTAACTTTGTAGTACATGTCACTTTAGTCTAAACTTTTCAAATGTAACATCATTCGAGCGAATCCGTACATATCCTTCAGTAAATGCCCCAGTCATTCGAGCGAATCCGTATATGTCCTTCAAAACTCCATTATGTGAAGTGCCTGAAGAAACGAATCCATCAGAATGGACGCCGGAATCGAATCGTATCGGAATGTTGGCACGAAAAATTGGGATGTTTCCTCAGTGGACTACAGATGGAACCCGGTTTCTGTGCACATTACTAGAATTTCCTAAGAATCTTGTTATTTCAGCAGTTGATCCAGAAACTTACTATCGGTTAGTTTTCTTTCATACTTCTTACATCACCGACAGTTTTCCGTCCTATTTTTTAACATTCACCTGAGAAGTATGATGCAAGGAGGAGAAGCATAAGGAGATGCATAGATTTGAAAAAATTTTCAAAAGATTTTAAATTTAAACTTTTCTAGAATAAGTATGGTGGGAAGACGAAAAGCATATGGCCGGTATGGTGCTCGATGGCGAATCACGGTTGGAGCTGTTGATGTTGATCCGACAAAATTTACTGCACGATATCGTGCTACTTTTGAACGACATGGTCAAGAGTTTTGCTGATTTGATTTTTCTGGCATCACCTAATTTTTTGACCAAACATGTTTAATAATATGTATCCCTATAGTAAGAATTGTAACCTTCCAACTTTCCAGGTTTTCCTGTAAAGAAACATATGGCATCTTTTTTGGTTACCGAAGATGCAGTGGTAAAGCCAGGGACAGAATTACATGTATGTCATTTCAAAGTTGGCCAGTACATAACTGCTACGGGACATACTGTTGATTGGGGTTTCCAGGGTGGAATGCATAGATGGGGCTTCAGAGGTATGCCTGCCAAAAAGTAAGTTCTTATGTATTTGATTTATAGATATTAGTTGATAGATTGCCATATTCCTACCAATTTTTGCATTTTTATTTTACCAAAAAAGGTTTAGCATCTTATTTGTTTCCTTTTTCTCTATGTTCATTGTTTTCCGAACTACAAAATCTCATCGTCGTATTGGCGCCGTCGGTTCAAAAGGTGACGGTCGGATAAAGCCTGGAAAGCGGATGCCAGGTCATATGGGTTACGAGTGGCGATCTATTCCAGGTCTTGAAGTGCTGAGGATTAACCCTGAAAAACAGGTTTTCAAATTTCTGAATTTGCAAAACAAAAGAGAAAATTTTTTACAAGCTACAAAAATTTTTACAATACCGCTTTCTGAAATTTTACTCTTTGTAGAAATTTTCATAACTTTTTTTAGTTTCTTCTTAGTTCAGATTTGGAAAAATTGACAGAAAAAGAGGAAAGCAGTGAACTGAACATATCTTTGAAAAATTTTGTTCACCAGTTTTGTTAAAAGAAATAATTGTTGTTATGTAGTAAAAAGGAAATAATCGTTAACAACTATATTTATGAACAATAGGTCATCTAGGTGATGTATATTAACGGATCGGTACCAGGTGAAACAGGAGAGATATTACTCATAAAGGATTGTTATCACGATAAAAAGAAAGTACAGTATCCACATTTTCCTACCTTTTTTTACGAGAAAGATTTCGAAGCTGAAACGAAATGTAATGACGATGATAATTCGCCTTTTGTTTATGAAGATGGTGAATTCTTCGCCCGACGATTATTTAGGTTGGTGTTTTGAATCATTGTTTTCGTGGCTATTTATAACTCCTCTAATATTATGTATATTTTTTTATGGATTTATTTTTATTGAGATATGGATTATTTTTCTTTTGCTTTTTCTTTTTGCTTATCGATGTATTTCTCACATTTTCACTTTCTTTAGGATGACAATGCCTTCAATAGTTTTCACAGAACCTGAAAAATTCAAAACAGCGAAAAGAGATAAAACAAAGGCAAAAACAGCGAAAGTGAAAAAATAATTGTTGATGCTATTTGGTGATTTTTCAGAAATTGATAGAATCGTTGATTTTCTTGTTCTGTCTCTTGCTTTTACCTTATTGCTCAGTAATAATTTTTCAGTCTCATTATTTCTTAGCGGAATGCTTGGAGATAAAAGAGAGCAGATTATTCCATTCTATTATCTAATTTACAATCTTTACTTTAGCTTGAATTTATCTAGTTTTATTATCTCATTTTAGAACCGTCATTCTAATAATGTAATATAACAAACATAGCAAAGTTGAACATTTCGTTTTTTCATTGTTTTACAGTTTGAAGAATCCGTATGAATTCAGAATTAGTTTTAGATTTTTGAAGTCTTTCACTTTCTTCTAAAGGTTCATATTGAGAGTGGCGATCGATTTTGATGTTTTTGAACCTTCTTTTTTTGTTAAAACTTGAATCATTACGAAATATAACTGTATAATAAAGCTACAATATCGAATTCGTTATCGTGAACAGTTGGTAACATTTGCAACCGATATTTTATTCTTGCATCTCTCCTTATTTTCGATTATTCATATTTCATTTATATGAGTGTTTTGTTCATTTGCATCACATCGATCTTTGGAGCGCCATAATTTACAAATCAGATACTTAATGTATTCTGTTTAAATAAATGATGTGTAGGTAATATTTTTCCATCATGACAAATTACTTAAGAATATCTTGAAATTCGTTTTCAGTGATTTATCACACTGCCCATTTTCTTATTACTATGATTTTATTGTTCATATATGAAGGGATCCGGAAAATTTGTCTGCTAATGAATTAGTACTGATGAATGCTCGGGAATGGTTTTAATGGCATCGAATTACAATAATTCGGATTAAAATGTCCACTAAAGAAGAAGGTAAGCTAATATTTAACCAGTGATAGAAGCTGATTAAAAAGGATGTCGGTGACTTTTTTTTGCATTCTCTTACTGGGCTATCTATATTTCAATAACTCTCAATTTTAAATAAAATCAAACTTCGGTTTCATTTAATCTTTTTCGTCGCAGAAATCGCATGTCGAGTTTCAGATGCGAAAGATCATTGTTCCTCAAAAAGTTTCGCGTGTTTTACTCGCCGATTGCTTGCTGTCTCAGCTGCTCGCTTACCTCATGTTGTGCTTTTAGCAGTTTTTGAATATTTAAATCTTAAAGACTTGGCACAATGCATGCGAGTTTGCAAACATTGGTGGACTGTTTTACTGTATCCGGTTAGCTTCAGTTTATTATTTGAACAAAGTTCATAGTCATTCATGTTCACTTTTCTGTTCAGTTATTTATTACATTGTTTAGCATTTCTTTTGATAAGTACTGAACTTTATAGAACAGCTTTGTATGGAAACGTTTGGCATGTACAATTATCCCAGATGAAGCCCTTAATGATCCCTGTCTTCTATCAGAAACCCCTTCTTTCAAGGAAAAATTACGAGCGTTTTGCTATGCATGGAATCCGAACGATTCTTCAAAGTGATTTCACATTTATTGAATTTTTTATTTTTTCATCTATATAAAAGTTCTTATTTTTCTTATTTTAAAGTGTACAAGATAAATGTAGTCTATATTCGTAATTCTGAACTATTTGTAAATAACATAATCCAGGATTATTTTGCATTAATAAATCTGATTATTTTTAAGAGAAAAGTTTAATTCATCGTAGTGTTTTAGGAATAATTATTTACGCTCCAACGGTTTTACGGTGCATCGAAATCCAATTGCTCAAAGTACTGATGGTATCCGAGGTACTAAACAAATTTTCAATTTGCAACCCGAATTTGATTGATTCTGAATAAATTCAGTGCAATGAATTTCATCAAAGACTTTGTTTGACAGATATAAATATGTTTTTTTACGGAATTTCAGGTAAAATAGGCGTCAGTAATGGGATACATGCATGGGAATTCATGTGGGAAGGACCGCTGGGAACAGTAGCATGTATAGGTTTAGCGACGAAGTAAGTTTGGCTTCATTTCCTGAATTAAATTTGCAAAAAAGATCAATGAAGATTTCAAATTTCCTATAGGTATGGTTGAAATGAAACTTCGTGCAGTATTCTGTTTCATTATATCAGCTAAAATTAAGCTAAAACGAAAAATTGTGTAGAGAAATAGATTTTTTTTAGGCATGCAGCGCTACACTGTCAGGGTTATGTGGCTTTATTGGGAAGTGATGATCAAAGCTGGGGCTGGAATCTTGTCGACAATCAGTTGTTGCATAATAGCACACAAATCTGTTCTTATCCACATATTAATAATCCTCCAAAATATCAGGTTAATATTACACAGTAATTTATAGTCGGTATTCTAGAAACTCTTATGAAGAGTTCAAAACATACTATGACCCTCTTACTATGATTAACTCACTTTATAGTGAATGACTCTTATTTCCTGCAAAAGCAAAAAATTTTCGGTCTTCTGCAATTTTCATTTGTTCGCACTTTTATTCTAATCTTTTTGGGATTTTATGCAGCCCAATTTCGAAATAGGGTGAGGTTACCTGTCAAGTTAAGTGCTATCTAGAACTTCTATACTCTCATATGAAAAAATGATGCCTTTCGGAGCTCATAAATTTACTTGGGATCTATGACTTCATACTCATCATGCATGTTATAAGATGCTAAATGATAATTTGTTTCGAGAAGAGTACTGTTGGAAATGAGCTGATCATTATCGCCAGTACATAACAGTAGAATTTAATTTTGTATTTTGATTTATTTCAGATGGGAGAAAGAATTCGAATGATAGTGGATTGTGAGCAACACTCTATGTATTTTGAAAAAGGAAGTGAATTTCTAGGTATTGCCTTTAGCCGCCTACCCCCATTAAAACTATTTCCTGCTATGTGTGCTGTCTATGGCAATACTGAAGTGTCAATGGTTTATATTGGGCCACCTCTCTTAGGCTAACATTCCAACTGGAGTTTCTTTTGTAAATAAAAACTAGCAAATTTTCGTATTTTGTTTAATTTATTAGCGCTCCTCATCTAATTTGATTCACATTCTCAAATTGAACAAAAAAACATTTTAATTTCAAAGATTGGATGAGTTAAAGTTGTTTCAAATCCATCTCTTAATTTTTACAAAGCCATCCAGCAGCTATGATTGTTTGAGTTTCTTTTCAGAGCACATTGCCTTTTATATCCAGGTTCATCATAATGCAGTATCCTCTTCACTCATATTTCAACTCTTTCTCTCTCCCTGTTTATCTCTTTAAACACCTGCATTCCATATGATTTCATCCATCTTTTAATTTTTTCCCTTACCAATATTGCGGTGGTTCTAATAAAATTCCTAGATCGGTTACTCATACCATCTATTTACATGATTATATTCATGGATGAAAATCGGTTTAAAATTTTTAAAAGAATTTTTGTAATATACCTGTAATGAATTAAAAGACATCCCGAAAGATTCTGAGTAATATTAACCCCAGCTTTTTTTCCTTACTGCTTGAGAATAAAAGGTTTTTTTTTTTTTTAACGAACTCTTTTAATTAAACATCTAAAAAAGGTGCAGGAAGGAAAACAGGACTAATTTAAAGAACTATTATTTGAAAAGACACTGTTCGAGAAACTGAATTTGTTTTGCACCACTTGTATCTCGAGAAATCCGGGAGAAGCAATAAATAGTAATTATTATCCGACGTGAATAAGATCCGGCTGTTTCTTTTAACAATTGCTTCACCTAATTTCTAAGATGTGAATTTTCTTTGCATGCTTTCTGTCTGTTTTCTAACACGCAGTTCGTCATCTAATCAATGATTAAACTTTAAAATTGCAGCGCTAATCATCGGAAAATTGCTTATCATCAGCTGTATTGCATAGCATTCGTGCAACCTACAGATATTTATAAGAAAGATATCAGTCATGCATAGAGCTTTGCCGTTGTATAAATATTTGTTGCCCTTCAGCTGTACGAGAACTTCTAAACATGAATTTGTAGAAGGCCATTTTCAAATTCAGATCCCTTTCCGCAAGTTCCATGTTTTAAATTCTAATTCCAATCCTAAAAATTTCTTTTTTTTAAAACTTTGATCCTCACATATCAGAGGAATGATTAAAATTTTTGCGTTTATCTCGATGTACTGCAATATCCCAAAATAAATATTTTATTTAAAAAAATGCACTGTAAGGCTGGGTTTATTTCAATATTTTTTCAAATAATTTTGTTTAAAAATTTTCACATCATTATTCGGAAATCGAAAAATCGTTCTAATTCACCATCTAAAAAAGGGAGTTTGTGCTTCAAAGGTAACTTGATATATCCGATTATATCTGCAGTGTTATGAATACTGAGATTAGGGTCATTTACATTTTGTCCACCAAAGTGGCAAAAGGGAGAAAATATGTTATTGGAAATTTGAGTAAGACAACCATTGGATTAAAACGATTTCAGTTTAACAGACTTAGTCAGGAGCTCTGAAGGTAATAAAATGTATAGAAAAAAATGATGAAATAGAAAGGAGAGAGATATTTCTCCTTATCCGGAATAATAGTCCAATTTAACAACAGACGTGGAAGAAGCAAAAAAAACTAAGAAGCTGTATTAACTGGGAAAATTCGGAAAAATTTTTGAAAAATCGAAGTAACGCATTTATCAAAAAATTTTGAAATCTATCTTAGCGTCAGGTAAAAATGTCCCTAAAACATAAAGCTTCTTATAAAATGGTTATTTTGAAATCAGAAACATAATAAATAATGAAAACGAAATACAACAATTTCAACTAAAATACCATTCATAAATGCAAGTTTGGTATTGAGAAAAAGAATATCTCAACAGTGCAGTGCAAAAACTCATCGTATAGCTCGAGTCAGTTGGATTACTTTTCGTTGAATAATTTCTGATTTTGGTGTCGACCAACGGGTATAAACATCAAATTTTCCCTTCGTCTTAACTAGATCCAAAAATTCTTGCAAACTGCTTTCACAGTTGATGTAGAACATTCGAGATTCCAACAAACTGAAAGATTCTTGATCTAATTTAAAAAACATAGATTTAGACAGCTACGAAAATTTTCCGACGAACTATATTAAAACGGCTGAAACTTCTTGAGTAATAGAAATAAAACCTCAAGAAAAATCCTGTTTGCTTTTTTCTAGCTCAAGATAATTATCAAATTTGCCTGGACCGATTTATTTTTTAAGGAACTAAAACTTACCAAACTCCATCAGTGGCTAATGCATAGTCGATGAAATTATGAATTTCTTCAAACCGATTTTTCTCTTTATTAAAAAATTCCACAGAAAAAATAACTTCAAATCTGAAACAGCAAAATATTTATTTCCAATTTAAAGTGTTATTTCATTTCAGTATAGATGTTGATCCTGAAAAATGAGAGGAAAGCATCAACTCCCGAAAACTGCCACCATCTATTGCCAATATTTCCCTCTATCGTGTTTTGCAATAGGAAGATTTGTAAATCAGAATGGTACTTAAGAACATGTTAAAACCTACTCATTTGATTTTACCAATTTTCGAAGGTCTTCTAAAGAGCTACAAAGGATTCTGTATTGCGTACTCTTGATTTTATTCCGAGAAAGCGTCGGCTTCACGCACGATTCCATCATTTCATTGTCCTATAATGAAAAGCTATGTTTTTAAAGCTATAATTCAATATCAGCTTGACTTATTCCATTTTTCCTTCTACTTGAGGCTTAGCTGGCTGTCAGCAGTGATTTTATTATGCCTCAAAGTTTCTCAAAAAAAAATTAAAATTTTTTTTTCTCTTTTGAAGAATTAGAGAGAAACTTACACTACTATGTAAAGTGATATGTTTTGCACCATTTTTTATAGCAAAGACTGAAGGAAGAGCTGTACAAAAATCAATCTGCAAAATACAATTGTGTGTGGAAGAATTACATGGATTTCAGAATTTCACTTCATCATTCGAAGCTTAATAAATTAAGTACACTAAACAATAACCTCCAGAATTTTTCGTCCTTTCACTAAATCATCTGTTTCAAATCGTATAGCATGGTCCAACGCGTAACACATCTCAAAAACGCCTTCCCATTCTTCTCGTGGATCACTTCCTACAGATAAAAATTTACACTAAACTTACCAGAACTTCATATTCTTAAATGACTAATAATTCACAGAGACAAAAAAAAAAACTTTCTAACATCGGTAATTAACGTCTCTAAATTTTCGAAAATTCTATTCCGTTACTGATTTTTAATTTTAAACTGTTATCTTAACAACTATGAAAATTTATTAAATGTAATATAAAATTTAGGTGTATATGGGCAGTTCCGTCTTGTTGAATTTTCAAAAAAAAGCTAACATTCTTCATTCTAGTCGCAGTGGATTTTTGAACGACATCGAATATAGAAATCTTTTTCTGAACTATTCTAAAAGCGGAGCGCTTTTAGTAACCTTCTGGATAAAAACATGAGAGGGACCTTCATGATAAAAAAAGGACAACGATTTGAAATTTACTTACTCCTACCATACTACAATTTATGGTCCATTAGGCCAATGACGAATGATTTGTACCATTTTATTTATTAAATTCAAAATATTAAGAAAAAAATTACTTCCTTTTCCAACTTCAAAAAATGAAAAAACAATTCCAAAGAAAATTAACAATGTGGGAAAGAAATTCAAATGTAAACCTTACTAATATTATCAAATGAATAAATCTTACCTTCCATAAAGCTTTTTTTACGTGTAATTGAGCCACTACTATTCTCAGCTGATGAATTTTCTTTTATCGGTGCTGCATGTGCTGGTGCCACATAATTGATCTTCAATCCGGATTCCAATTCTAATGTGCCTTCGATGAATGCTGCTTGGCTGCTTTTCGTTAAATTAGAACGAACCATTATTACGATTCTTTTTTCAATATTTTTCACAAATCTGAGTAACTATAATATCAAAGACTTTTTTTTGAACAATATTTCGATATTAGATAAGATGTCGCAGAAGTCGCACATTCCTTAATGGTATACCTCATCGTATTCCCCGAAATAATGCCAGCTATACACCTATAAGTGTAATTCATTCGCTAGTTAAATAACTTGAAGCTCCCGAGCTCTAACTTAAATCTTTGTCCATTTGGTGAACCACTTCTAAAAAACAAAAATTGATATATTACTTTTGGATTAGCATTGATATTCAAAGATCTCTGATCTCTAAATTCTATCATTAGTAATTCTGGCAACAGAGATCAAAAAAATAAAAATAACAAGAATATCCTAAGCCAATAATTCACTGGTAATCTCCGATCTTTGTTATCACACTAGTCACTTAAACCGTATCATTATTATAGAAATGAGAAACAAAGTGAGAATATAGAGAGAATGAAAGTGATGTCTCTCAAATAGTCAAAATATCAGCATGATTTTTTGAAACAGAAAGTTAAAAGCGTGAATAGATAACAAATAAGTTGATAACATATTTGAGAGACATCACTTTCATTTTCCCTATATTCACTGGTAATCTCCGATCTTTGTTATCACACTAATCACTTAAACCGTATCATTATTATAGAAATGACACACATGTACATATATGTATAATAAATAAAAACTTGACGAATTCACTTTAATATTTTAAATCATCATGAAGTATTGCAGAACGATAAACATTCTTTCATTCAATTGTAAAATATCATTTTTGAGAAATATAAGTTAAAGGTATTAAGGGAATTTTGTATGACTGAAAGTCTGGAATTTAGAATTATTTACTCCAATCTATTAATTTCCTGAACAGTGGGCATTAAATTTTTCATTAAGATTTATGTACATATATATCTAATAAATATCAAAAGTTCAGGTACCAGACCAGATAACTTAAAATGCAATATTAACCTATATATGAAGAGAAATGCATTGGGGCTTTTTTCAATATTGAATAATAATCTCATCCGAAAATTAACTCACTGTTTCACATGATATTCCGTAGTAAGTAATATCATTTATGCAAACCTCATTCTAATTCAATCGCTTATTCCTATCATTATATTTTCTATCGTCTACAGGTAACATCAAAGTATCACTCATTCATCCGGTTGGTGATAGTGTCTGTACGACTTATCCGACTTCCTCTCAACAAGATTGAGTAATCTGGAATGAGATGAGTTCATGTAATAGATAAGTTATGTTAAAGCACGTTTCCTTAAATCTTATTTATGAACTTTAATCCAATCTGAAATGACTGAAATTTCATGAAGTAATCATTCTTTTTCCCCTTCTCTCTCAATATGAGATATTATTTTCCTCCTAGTAATAAAATCTCAATGAATTTGTGCTCGGAAAAATAGCACACTTCCTTTCTTTTCCTATTACTTTGTTGGGGGTTATTCAAATAAATCGCTACTTTTCTCTAGAATTCATCTCACTCTACTCTTTCAAGCCCATTAACATTTTTCAAACCTTCAAAGATAGCAAATCTTTGGCCCTTTTCATTTCCTCCTCCTCACCAGTCTGTTTACACATTATATGAAACGAAAAGGAAATGATTTCATCTTTCGTTTCAGCTTTACAGGAGATCATTGTAAAAGCATCAGAAAAGACACGGAGGAAAGGAAGAGTCACGTCATGATGATGCTAATTTGCAGAGCGTGCATTTTTTAATATTCTGTAAACAATGATGAAAACAAGTCTCAGACAAATGCTAATCAAAATGAGGCGGGATTTTCTCAATTTTCTCAACTTCCACGTCATTTTTTTTTTGAAATCTGCTACTCTTCTTATCAGCTATAGTTGCTCATTTTTCTGCAATCTATTCAACAAAAGCGAAACTCGATCGGTTTTGTTTTATTAACATCCATATCATTTCCACCTGTAAGCCGCTCAGAGCTTCAGCTCAACAATATGCCGTAACGGCCACTTTGATACTATTACCGCAGATGATAAAAGGCACATTCCTTAAATCTCACTCTATCTTCAAAACCTCCTTCACCTTCAATTACACATCTCTCGCTTCGAAGTTTTTGAAAAATGATTTCATTTCGAAATTTTTCATTACAATTTGTGACTAGTCAATAACTCAGATAAATGAATGAAAAAATAACAAAACTATGACTTAACTGAAGATTTAAAATCAGAAGCATTTTGAATGTTGATAAAAATGTTTTTTTGAACTGAAAGTTTGTCTAAAGTCTCATCTGAAATCATTCCTTTCTAAGCATCCGCTCTTTAAAGACAAAAATGTACATCGCTTAAAACTAATCATTCATTTCCTATTTTATTTGTGCATCCATATATTATATATTATAATGAAAACAAAAAGATAAAAAGGCCTACAAATGGAATCTGTCATTCTAGCATACACTCTTCCTGAAGAAAAGAAAAGTTCTCAGATCACTGTTTAACATTTTCTGTTTCAAATCTGAATATTGCTAACGTCTTTAACTTACCATGAATCAACCGCATTTTATTCAATTTAAATCCATTCAAATATTTAAAAATCGACGTTCCAGAAAACGAAAAAAAATAGAAAAATACTGTTTTCTAATCGGCTACACGTTTAATCATTACTGATTCTTCATGTCACTGTGTTATCTGGAAAAGAATATTACAGCAAATATTATCAAATAAACTACTCTTTTCATGAGCGCCAATATTTTAATTCATTAAAAATTCAACATTTCAAGTAATTTATAAAAAAAAGTTGAGGGAAGAGGAAGGAAATAGAGCAACTATAATCTATGAAGTATAGAGCAACAAATGGTATGATCAAAAGCTGAAATAAGCTAAACAATTTGCCGAAATTGCAAAAACAAAAGTTAAAGATTCATAGTAGCATTCGTTACTTTCGTAAAATAGGAATTCAGAAAGAATTCCTAATGAAAATTCATGAGATGACCACTTCCCAACGTTTATAATATTAGATATTTCTCGAAATTCAATACCGATCACCTCAGAGGAATCATTGCAGGGCGAGAATGCCACCCGAATGATGACCCTATCCTATCCTATCCTATCCTATCCTATCCTACCGATGGACAACAACTCTGCCACTCTGCCAACAGCCCCATTCAATACATGTACATTTGTATGTCTGTCGATGTGATACGATGAGCGTTCCACGCATCGCTCAGGGAATGGCCACTGTTCCAGAAATTTCTAGATCTTCTGCACACGTTCAAGAAAAGTATTCAATTCAGACAGTACTGATTAGCGTTGATGGGTTAATTTTTATCTCCGGTCAATTGACCGATCAGTAATGAAGAGCAATCTGTCTGCAAAGCATACTGCTCTTCCATTCACTATTCTTCCTCATTCTATTCTCTTCAATATTATATAGGTAAATTGACCAATTTGTCCCAATGGTTTACTTCCTGTCCTCAATTCGAAACCTAACACTATACTGTCCATCTATTAAAATGACGAAATTAGTTCCTACAGGAAGGAGGAATAGTTATCAATTTCGAAATCGTAAGCAATTATGTTAGTACAGTTCCAATAATCATTTTGAAGCTAATACAATTGGCTTGTTAATGATCAATTCTATTGCCTTTATGTAGTACCAGAAGTTTACAAGACTCGTATCACATTTCTCTTTACTGTACGTTTTTATAAGAGTGTAAATGGATGAGGATCAATGATTTCATCTCTTCATAAGATCAAAATAAAAGATTACAAGGCATTGATTTCACCTCTCTTTCGTACAGTGCAACGTACCACAAACTGTTGTATCACCAACTGGATAGTAAGAGTGGTCATTTTAGTTATTAATCAATTTGTGTTCATATGAACACTACAAAATCAATTTTGCAGCGAGATGAAAGTGGAAATTGCAACGACCTATTAGCACCATAGCGTAGTCATTACAGTAGCAAAAAATGTACACATCATAGATCTTTGCAGATCACGAAATCTAAAAAATGCTTATCCGTCTACGGCTTGTTATAAGCATTAGAAGTAAGAAACTCTACATATAATTATTGAATGACCATGGTATCCAGACCTCAATTCTAAATGAATGAGAGATATGACATATTAAAACAGCTAGATGATATAAACTAATGACTGAACACTCTAACAGGTTGGTGAATTCAAAAATACGCTTCGTTAGGTTGCACTTTAGGCTTTTCGGTTTTTAGATTATGTTCATCATGCAGTCTGAGAAAAAAGGGTATTAATAGTTAGTGATTTTATGTATAAAATTAACATAAATTAATGCGAAAGATCGAAAAACTATAATCTACACAACCAATCAAATATAATGATGCATTCTTTCCACTGTCTACGAAAACGCTTAAAAAGTTGAGTTTATTTATGAGGAAAATATTACTACACATTTCATATTACCTACAAACAAAACGCTGGAAACAATAACTAAAGACAAATAAACTATTGACGAAAAATAACCACATCAAAATCAATTTTCATTAAATCTTAATCCGCGGAACATTTCTTCATTAAAATTAGAGTAAGTTTAACTCTGGAACTTTTCAAGAAATAGACTGAAAAAAACAGCTCGTTTGAGCTTGTCCCCAATATATAGAATTTCCGCTACCATAACCACATTCTATGGAGTCTGGTTTGAAATTCAATTATAGACAACCTTAATAAAAAGTTTCCTAAATTCCGTGATTATCATACAGTTTCAAAATACGTCTGAAATTAAGATAATCACTTTTTCACACTAACATCATTAGGCTTCAACTACTGGGTGACATTCTGAGTATCTTAGCGGCTTTTTCTTCTTCTATCCTTTTCAGTTGTTCGTCGACTATTAACTTCCGTTCTTCCAAAAATTTACGGTATTCCACTGGGTCAAGATCCTCACGAACAATTTTAAGCCCAATTGTACGAGCTGTTTTAATGAGTTGTTCACATATCATCTGAAGGAAAAATTCATTTCGATAATACAGCGAAATGCTTAAAAATTGAAAGCACAATAAGTCTGCTTACTAATGAACTGGTAAATTAATATACCGAAACTCCTTTGTTAAAATGTAAATAAAGACGACTAACTTTTAATGGGACACCAACTAAACATTTATCAACAGCCTTTATTTTGGCTATCTCGTAAATATGCTTTACTGTAATCATCCCGGAAATTTCCTCATCTGAAATTCTGCAATATTCTTTATAATATCATACAGTATAATTTATATGAATCCTTCAAAAAATAGATATTACTGAAACTGGTTTGCTTGTCGACTCTTTTATGCTATTTCGTCATTTAATTAATCCATGGCTTGAATATTTTTTTAAGATAATTAAATATTTAATTGACAGACCAGCAAAAATAAAACTAATAAAAATTATCAAAACACTTTGAAATCTAAGTTTAGTTGCAATCACCATCCACAAATACTTACGTGGGCGTACAGATCCACGTCTTATCCCCGCTGCATGCATCAGTAACCAAATAGATGTTGGTGTGCAAATTTCCATGTCATATGTACGATCTGGTTTTATTGTGAGCCGTACCGGCAATGGGGTACCTGCTCGTAACAAAAATAACTTTGAAGGCTTTGAATATTTTCAGCTCCTTGTTAGAAATAAACGATGAAACATCATTAAACCCTGCACTAAAATAAGAGTTGAAAAAAATTCTCAAGAACTCAAAGAAAAAGTCCATTTCACATGTATGAAGATGTGTTCCTCCAATCGGGAATTTCAACGGCCATTAAATTTATAATAAATGCAACAAAGAAAAGTACCAGGTTTGATATTACTCGTCGCTCGATTGAAATCTTTGCAAAAACTCGCCACATTAACGCCCCTTTTGCCCAAATTAGGTCCCAGAGGTGGTGCAGCTGTCGCCATTTGTGCTCTGAACAATCAGTCTATTAAAGAAAAAATTCGAATATTAAGTAAAAATAAGCAAAGAAAACACGCATTATAGGTAAAATAAATGCACATATACCTAACAAACATTTTTGCAATGCATGCCTATTTACTTTCAACTTAAACATCTCCAATTAAACTTCTTTTACACGTTTTACATCTTTAAGAAAACTTTGTGCATAATTACTATTAATATCACAACTCGTCTTGTAAACAATGACAAGTATTAAGTGATGTTGAGGCATTGTTAGAAGAACCTTTTTTTCAGGGATTCAAAGAGACCAACCAACTATAATAAGTTGGTCACTTTTATATATTGCATCATTTATCAGTTGTTACTGATAAAAAAAAAATGAGAAAAATAACATGAAGGTAGGGTAGTAAAACAGAGTATATTCTGTTTTAATTTCCCTTCAGTTTCATGGTATCAAAATAAGCGCAATTACATGCTTTTTTGTGCAATCAATACAATTAATTAATATAAATTAACACAAGTGTTTAATTAATACAATCAGCAGAACGAGAAAGAAAGCAAACTTACTTGACAATCGCTTTGTATAACGGATTATGGATAATTTTGATAACAGGCTTTTTCCTCACTCGAACACCCATTTTTGCCACTGTCGACATTTTCCTGTGATTGAAGCTAGACTAACAGATATTTTGGATGAGTTTCACATATCACGGAGTACAACTTTAGCGCCCTGTCGCATGCTCAAATTAAGTCCGAAGTTTGTTTGTGCCGAATCCGAAATTTACGAGATATTATTAGCTATTATCAGGCAGTAGGGCTGCACTATTCGCTTAGTTGACGTGGGTAGCAGCGCTCTTGGGGTGGGTAGGGCGTGGGTGGTGGTGACTCGGTTGATTGCTACCGGAATGGGTGACACGTGAACTGTATGGATGAATGATGCATCACAGGGAGAAAAGGGTCTGGGTGCAAGTGCGTAGTACCATGAGTGAATGGCATCCGAATGGTAAGCGTTTTCGCTTACAATGCGACGAGCGTGGGTAATGAACCTATATATATATATAT